TCAATTTTGTTTCGTAGTCTTTTCTGTCCATTACTACATTACTATATTTGTCCTCTTCCTTCCCACTTATAACAAGAAGCCAAGTTTTTACCTTTTATAAAAAAACAACAGGTTTCTCAATGGCCATTTGTTGATTCCATAAGGAAGGAGAGTGAACTTTCCCTTTCAGCACTCAATTTTGCCGCTTGAAGTCCTCCTCTGGAAACGAAGTATTATTCAGAAAACCATAGTTTTCAGGATTAAACGCCTCTTAAAATCCTGGGTCAGCCACAAAAACTTTCTCTTAACAACTTTCTCCTCTCTTCCTCCTGCTCAGTCTTACCCAGCTGCCGGCTTCTTTGAGGCGGCCATTACAGACCGCCGCTCGACCGTCTTGGGAGAGGGGGGTTTTGCCGGCTGGGAAGGGGGTCTGCAACACCCCCAAACCCCTCACCAGCTCCCCTATCTTTGGCTGCCTTTTCGTGGCAGCCTTAGCCTTCAGATCCGTGGATCGGAGGCACCAAAGCGGCTAGCGCGGCAGGGATCGCGCAGGATCGCAAATCCCTGCCGCTAGCAAAGCCGACAAACCGGCAAAATATTCATTTTTATAGTGGCAATTCTTCCTATCAATGACAGCTGTAATTTTCCCCATAATATTGCTGTCATTTTTTTAAAAAATTGTCAATTTTTAATCCCACAGGAATCAAGGGTCTCAGATTTCAGGTGCATTCTGTTAGTCCATTTGAAATACTTTGGTTCAAAAGGTTTACCCTATGGTGCATTGTTTCACCCAGTTAATGGTTATAGGAACCGGAGTTTTACTAGTATGTAGATTAGACATCCTTGTTGAGTCATAGTTACAGAGACATTGCTTTACCAGATTTCTAAATACTTTCAATAATGACAGAACTTCTAGTGTCCAATATTCACTGAAAAATCAGATATTGCTCCCTTATCTACCTTGAAAATATCCCATGTTAAAACTGTAGAGCACAGTGAAATATGAGCACAGGATATTTATTTATTTTATTTTATTTATAACTTGTATATACCGTCCCTGCCCTATTGTTTCTTTCTTATTTTTCTTATATGTATCCATTTCATGTATCCATAACTATGTTTATACTTATACCTGTTATCTTATGATTGCTTGACAAAATAAATAAATAAAATAAATAAATAGCTCCCAATCAAGAATTAAAATGTATAAAATAATTTAAAAACACAACTAGTTAAAATATAAAACATTAAAATAACAAAAACATGGGGTCAAAGATGAATAAATTGGGTGGGAATTGCTTTGCTTAAGATATTCTGTATCTTATACAGATGCAGATAGATAAACTCCACAAAACATCCATAACAAAGTACTTTTATTGGTTCATCAGGTATCCTCATAACTCACATTTGTGATGAAGTTCTTTAATGACCAATCCTTTGCATATCTGTCTTGTAGGTAAAAAGATGGTTTATCTCCTATCCTTTTTCTCCCATCTTGTAACGATAGAAGTAGAACAGTTACCACGAGTCCATGAGTTCAGCCAAGAGTGAGGAAAACTCCCCCAACCCATCGAGGGTCAATTTAGTGACCAATTAGGATTACAGATGTGGTCACGTGACATAGACCATACAGTTCCCAGGATACCTTAACTACATTTACCATGATGCATTCCCTTAAGGGAACAGCTCACAATTGCTACCTAACTATCCAATTCCCATACACTGGCTGGACAGCACACTCCCCACCTAGAATTGTAAATTCCACTATTAAAATAAGAGGAAAAAAAATACCCATAAACTAAGATAAGCAGTAGACAGTAATACTAACTGAATAGCAGATAACTATATAACTAAGATAAACAGTTAGCTAGATAACTAAGAAAAACAGTAGACATTAATAAAGCATCAAACAAAGCAAAACATGCAAAGCTTGAGGTTCAATCTTCAAGTTCAGCCCTTCTCCGCAGTAGCACAAGGTCAGTGACCGGCTTGGTGTAGAGCTTCCTGGTAAAGGTCTGATGGTCGCAGGAGGAATCTAGTGACCTCACCATCAGGACCTTGACTTTGCGGATAAGTCCATCAGAGCTGGGCATGGTTTGAGACACAAGTCCCATAGGCCACATGTTGCGATGCACATCCTTGTCTTTCAGCAAGACAAGGTCTCCCTCCTCGAGGTTTGGTTCTTTGGTCTTCCATTGACAGTGGTCTTGTAGGGTAGCAGGTACTCTTGCTTCCAACAGTTCCAAAAAGGTGTTGGCAAGCTGTTGAACTTGTCTCCATTGTTGTTTGTACAAGTCCTTAGAATCAAAGTTCCCTAACGGTGCAGACCAATCACCCGTTTTTTGAGTTAGCAAGGCAGCTGGAGTGAGAATGGTCGGATTCTCAGGATCTGAAGAGACTGGAACTAAAGGTCGACTATTTATGGTGGCCACGACTTCTGCCATAAGGGTAGGTAGAGTCTCATCGAATACAACACTCCAAAGGTTTGCTTGCAGTGTTATATGTTTTTTTTAATTGTTTAATAAAGATAGGGGAACATGAAGAAATTTTAAGGTTTTGAGCTGAAAGAGAAATTGTTCCTTTTTAAAACATTGCTAGGATTAGCCTTCTTTGCTTTGAAGATGGTCTGTCAGTAATGAATTATGACCCCCAATAAAACAGTTGTAAAAATAGCTGGAGAGGCTTCTCTTATTGCCTCTGAGCTGGAAAATTGCAAAGCCTTTCAGCTGAAATGAGCAGGGAAAAGTTAGTTTTCCTTTCTAGAAATGCCAGCAAGATTTCTGAAACTTTCTCATTGCATTTGGAAAGGGTTTATAATTGGATGAATACAGGGATGGATGAGAGATACTTGGCCCCTCCCTTTCTTTTACAAATTGGTTCTTTCTGAGTTAGGAGTTGTATTTAGAGACACAGCACTTTTTTTGCTGAAGAGAAAAGAAGGGGGAATTTGCCCCTTCCTGGCTTGATACAAAGACAAAGGAATCCTGCCTCAGTAAAGGAAGAGAAAAAAAAGGATTGAAGGAGGCAAATTTGATTGCCTTTGAAAACCAGCGCATAGGATATTTGAAAAGTCTCTTGCGTAAAAGAGGAAGGGGGGGATACTTGCCCCTCCCTGCAATTCAAATTGAGGCACAGAGCTTAGCATTCCACATAACCATCTTTTTACTATTTTGTATCCTGTACAGATGCAGAAAGATAAACTCCACAAAACATTCATAACAAAGTACTTTTATTGGTTCATCAGATATCCTCATAACTCACATTTGTGATGAAGTTTTTCTTTAATGACCAATCCTTTGCATATCTGTCTTGTGGGTAAAAAGATGGTTCATCTCCTATCCTTTTTTTCCCATCTTGTAATGATAGAAGTAGAACAGTTACCACGAGTCCATGAGTTCAGCCAAGAGTGAGGGAAACTCCCCCAACCCACCGAGGGTCAATTTAGTGACCAATTAGGATTACAGATGTGAAAAAGGAAAGGAAAGAAGGAACAAAAGAAAAATAGAGAGAGAGAGAGAGAGAGAGAGAGAGAGAGAGAGAGAGAGAGAGAGAGAGAGAGCAAGAAAGAAAGAAAGAAAGAAAGAAAGAAAGAAAGAAAGAAAGAAAGAAAGAAAGAAAGAAAGAAAGAAAGAAAGAAAGAAAGAAAGAGAAATAGTCTGGCTGGGAAAATCCACACATCATACAATTGCCAGGTTGAGGAATACTGCCTGAAAATTATTGTAATTGATTAAATAAACAAATAAAGCCCAACCCTTGCTATAAAGTTTTTGCTGTCATCCTTTTCCATTTGCAATAACAATATGATATGCTGCAAATGCCTCAGAAGAATTAGAAATGACAGCAGAAAGAGAGAAAACTTCCAAAACGAACCAACTCACCTCAGTTCTCCACCCATTAATAGCTCAACACTCTGTGTCCAATTAAAGCTAATTACAGGATTTGATTGTTTTGAATGCAGGGGGGAAAACACTTCCAGACTTTCAAGCACATCTGTTGCCTGTACAGAAATAGGCTGAATAATGTATTTTTAAAGATATTTTTAAAAATCCCACCCTTATTATTTTTATAAATAACTCAAGGCAGTGAGGATACCTAATGCTCCTTTCCTTCTCCTATTAGGAATATGAAAATCGATGATCTCAGAGTGAAGGCGTGAACTGGATAACATTGAGTGAACTCTAAAGTAGATTTCACTGTCAAATGTCTCAGTGCACACACCCTGACCAACACACAAACCCACTAATGATACAAATACTGCTAGGCAAATAACTGTTGAAAATCTAGCTCTTAGGGAACTTCATTCTACCCACTGGGTGGTGTGTATCCAGTTCAACAAGTTCCTGCATAGGGTGCGGTGCTGCTGCCAAGAGGCTGGATTTTGAAACTGTTCTTCCTGCTTGTTCTCTCACTTACGCACTTTAGGATTAGGCAGTAGGCACTGTGGTTTGGGACTTCTGCTCCAATCAGTCTGGAGGCTGTGACTGATTGCTCTATTCCATGGCCACTTCTGACCAGAAAGATCAGGTATTGGGTCTTCAATCAGATGTTTGCTGTGCAGTGGGTTACCTAAACCTCTGGAAGATGCTGATAGTAAACTGTGATTTATTTCCAGGCATGGATCCCCAAATATTTCAAGAAGAAAGTCTGCACAACTTTCATTGAGCAACCTAATGATACAGGGTAAGTAAAGCTTGCTTTTTCTCTGCTCTTTGAAATATATGTAAGCGAGCACTCTCTCTGAGGCTCATTTACAGTTTAATATTTCTAGTTTTTATCTCAAATCTGATCCCCATGTGAGACTTAAGCTTCACTCATGCTAACCGTGAAATGCACTCATGCATTTCAGCACAGCTAAACTCTGGATAGAACATTTGGCTCAATGAATTTCGGGAATCCTCCGTGCTATGCTTTATTCCAGTACTTTCCTCTTTCTCACCATTGCTTTAGTCATCTTTGGAAATAATGCAGTGCCTCAGGATCTGGTTAGTGGGTTGTGAAAGAACGCTAGCTGCTATTTTCCTGGGCATCCCTCTATTTTGCAAGACTGAGTTGTGGATCCTTATATTGGCTTCTCAAACAATCAGCTTTAATCAGATAATGTGGAGAATGATTTTTATTGATACAGATACAAGATGCAAATTAAACTCCATCAATTATTAAATGGGTATTGTAGAATGGCATCTTGTCATCTTGTCTTTTGATTTCTTTTATATATATATATATAAATAAGTTTTATTGATTTTACAATTAAAACAAACTGACAACATACACAAATGAAAAAGAGAAAAAGAGAGAGAGAAAAGGGAGAAGAAAATAGAAAGAAAAAATAGAAAACAATTAAAAACATTGTCATCTTCAACAGTTTGTAAGACCTCTTTTTTTTTTTAAATCCTTAATTTATGCCATATACACACACCTAATCCTTACATATATCTGTGTATATGGATTTGTCTTATCCTCTTTTGCCTTATAGTGTAAAGTCTATCTTTGGTCTATCCATTTGTACCAGCAGTCCCAGCTGTTTTAGTATATTGAGGTGTCTTTATTTTTTAATGCCAAAGTGAATTTGTCCATTTCTGCACAACTTGAAATTTTTTGAATGATCATCTCCTCTGATGGAACATGAGGCTGCTTCCAACATTGGGCAAAAGCTAATCTGGCCGCTGTCAAAATGTGTATTATTGTGTATTTCGGGTTTTTTTTATATTTGTTTATCAAAGATCCCTAACAAAAAGGACTCTGGTTTGTATTAGATCTGTTCCCTTGTCATTTCTTCCAGCCAATTTCTAATTTTCTGCCAATATTTTTGAGCTTCTGTACAGGACCACCACATATGGAAAAAAGTTCCCTCTTTTTTTTTTTTTTGCATTTCCAGCAATTCGGACTCATATTGGGGTGCATCTTCGCTAATCTCGAAGGAGGAAGGTGCCATCTATAAAACATTTTATAGGCATTTTCTTTATATGCTACCGATTTTGTAATCTTATTATTTCTACCCCAGACCTTTTCCCATTCTGTTAGGGTGATGCTACGTGCTACATTCCTACTCCAGGCTATCATGTTCCCTTTTACAATTTCTTCTTCTAATTCTACTTCTAATAAATAATTATAAAATTTTGTTATATTTTTTTTGCCTGATCCTAATAAAATTTCATCTAATTGCTGGAGTTTATTGTTGATTCCGAATTCTTTCTTGTCCTGTTTATGTTACTTTGAATTTGAAGGTATGCCCACTGATCAATTTTTAGTCCCCGCTCTTGAAGTTCTTGCCGCAATTTCAAATTTCCTTGTGTATCCAATAGATCCTTATATTTAATCATTTTAGTGATATCGCCTCCATTGTTGAAATCCAAACTGGTACTTTTAAATAATGTTTTTTCCGTATTTTCTTCCAATTAGTTAATAATGAGTCTCTGATTAGGTGTCTGTGGAAATATTTCTGGCTAGTTTTCCCTACATCCCATAAAAAAGCATGCCACCCCCTCTGCAAATCATGGCCTTCTAAAAATAATATTCTCTTGTTAGTTAAATTCACCCATTCCTTCAACCATACTAAAGAGGCAGCAATATAATGCAACTCCCAATTTGGAAGTGCCAGCCCTCCCCTTCATATCCTGCATTGCCTTTAAATTTATTCTAGGTTTTTTCCCTTGCCAAATAAATTTAACAGTTATTTTATTAAGTTCTTCAAAAAAAATTGTGTACTTTAATTGGGATCGTCTGAAACAGATATAGAAACTTTGGAAGAATATTCATTTTAATGGCAGCGATCCTACCTAATAACGAAAGTTGCAACTTACCCCATGTTTTTAAATCCTTCTTTACCTGTTGCATCAATTTATCATAATTATTTTCCTTAAGTGTCTTACAATGTGCTGTCAACCATATTCCTAAGTATTTAGCTTTCTTTATCACTTGTATTCCCATGACTTCTAATTCTTTTTTTCTGTTAAATTTTTAGTCATTAATTTAGTTTTCTTCTTATTAATTTTGAGGCCTGCTACTGCTCCAAATTGTTCTAATTCATTCATCAATTTTTGTCGTCTTTCTATTGGTTCCTCAATGAAAAAAAATCATATTGTCCACAAACGCTTGCAACTTATATTCTTCTTTCTTAACCTTTCATCCTTTTATATCTGGGTTCTGTCTAATTCGCATTAATAATGTTTCTAATGATAATATGAAGAGCAGGGGTGAGAGTGGGCAGCCCTGTCTGACTCCTTTTTCTATTTTTATTGGGCGGGTATATTCCCCGTTTATTATAATATTAGCCTGTTGTGTATCATAAATAGTTGTTATAATGTTTTCAAATTTGGTGCCTAAATTCATATTATAAATTTTTTGGATTAAAAATTGCCAATTTAAATTGTCAAAGGCCTTCTCTGCGTCTAAAAACATAAGTGCAATTTGTTTTTCGGGGTGGGCTTCATAAAATTCTAAGACATCTAGTACTATTCTTAAGTTGTTCCTAATTTGTCTGGTCGGGAGAAATCCATTTTGATCTTCATGTATATGCACGTTTAACATTCTTTTTAGTCTACTTGCTATAATAGAAGTAAATATTTTATAGTCAGTGTTTAAAAGTGAAATCAGCCTATAATTGTTTATATATCGGGGATCCGAATCCTCCTTCGGGATCAGCGAAATCAATGCCCCCCTCCATGAGTCCGGCATCCTGGCTGCCAATAAGACATCATTAAAAACTTCCACCATAAGAGGTCCAATTTGTTCTGCAATTGCCTTGTACAGCTCCCCTGGAATCCCATCTGGCCCCGGGGCTTTATTGTTTTTCTGGTTCTCTATTGCTGATTTCAATTCCGACCAAGTGATGTCTTTGTTTAATAGTTCTACCATTTCTTCCCCAATTGCTTTATCCTTCACTTCATCTAAATAGTTTCTTATTCTATCCTCATTAACTTCTTCCTTTTTATATAACTCTTCAAAATACTTATGGGCAATTTCTTTTTTCTGTTCTATCTCCTGTTGTATATCCCCCTTTCCATCTATTAGCTGGCACATCAATCTCTTTTCTTTTCTTTCCTTTTTTTTTTTTTTAGTTTGTAAGATAGCCATCTTCCTGGCTTATTAGCATCCTCAAAATAAGTTTGTCTAGTCATATTCAAATTTATAATCATTTTTGTCTTTTGATTTCTAACCAGCCTTCCACACAGATTCCCTCTGCTTTGCTCTCTCTTGTTCCCTCTGTCTCCTACCCACCTCTACTCTCCCATGGCTTCAATTCCTAGTACCTTTTTTATTTCTCCATCCATGACTGTTTCACCTCTGTTCGTGCTGTAATGCTTTAACTCCATCCATTCTCTTTTTGAATTCGTTTAATTACATTTTAAAATGCATGACCACCTCTGAAAAATGCTAGAAGTTGTATTAACATTCAGAAGTATTTGTACCGCATTTGGCAACAATTATTCTATCCCATAAACACAAAGCTCCCTAAATATGTACTTTGTGTGCTTTTATTGTTCATATGCTAGGGGGCGTGCATAAGCGCACCAACGTGCCTACCGTCCCTGTCCTATTGTTTCTCTTATTCTTTTATTTTTCTTATATGTACCCATTTCATATATTCACAACTATGTATACACTTGTACTTATTATCTTGTAAACAATTGACAAATCAAATAAATAAATAAATAAATAAATCACTTTCTGAGCATGGCCACTTTGAGTCTTCATTTTCTGAAGTTAAGCATACATTGTTCCTTCAACTTTCCAAATTCCCCAAATTCTTTGTCCTTCCTGAATCTCTTTCAGTTTGCTTATATCAAGAATGAGGGATTTGTTCACCTTCACAAATTCTTGACTCCAAGTTCCTTCAGCGCCAGCCATTTTGACCAGTAGCCAGAGATGACAAGAACTAGAGCCAAACATCTACAGAGCCATCAGTTTGTGCTGTATCCTTTCTTCAGGCCATACTCAAAGTTGAACACATTACACCTAGTGCAAAATAACTGATTCAATGCAGATTGATTAACTAGTGCATTTGTTCCAGAACTTTTCCCGTGTATGTATGTATGTGTATCTATATCTATATCTATATCTATATGTATATCTATCTAACACCTTATTATTGCTAGGAGTTACCTATATCTGAACATATCTGAACATTACTGAATTATTGAGCAAACTGGAAAGCCAGTTTGTAATAGGTAATTAAGACACCAGGCTAGAAATTGGGAGATCGTGAGTTTTATTCCTATCTTTGGCCCAAAGCCAGCCGGATAAACTTGAGCCAGTCATTCTTTCTTAGCCTTAAAAGGAGGCAATGGCAAACAAGTTCCAAAATCTTACCAAGAAAATTGCAGGAACTAGTCTGTACAGTTGCCAGGAGTCAACATTGACCCAAAGGAATACTCTGCCCCCACCCCCAAAAAACTCACTCCACTGAGCATTAAAAAATGTGAAAGATAAAAGAGAATTTGTTTATTTATTGATACTTCATATTTCTAAACCACCTATCTCCTTCAAGTTGTTATACTGGGCCTCAGAGTTATAAGTGTAACCTTGTTCTGATCCCTTCCCCATCATTCTGTTTCACAGTGCCTCCAATTTCTGCCAGTGTGGCAGTACTCGCAAAAACCATACGTCGGTCGCCATAGAAGATGCTTTTGGAGCAGCCATTGTCAGCAAATGGGACTCAGCGCAACATACCACAGAGAGGCCAACTGATGCCTATGGGGAGGTGGAATTTCTAGGCACTAGCCGTAGACCGAGCAAGGTGAGCTTGTGATAGGACAAAAGCTAAGCTAAGGTTTCCAGAGGATGAAGGCAGGATTGTGGCAGGAGACTGTGGAGCTAAAGACAAAACAACTATTTCCCAACCCTAAATGCAATAACAAGAAGGAGGGCATACAGCCAGGGATGACCCAATGATGGAATATTGGAGGATAAAGCAGCTCAGAAGGACATGTGCCTGAAGCAGGATGCAGATCATCTCTAATGATCTAAGTGCTAGAGCCCACTGTAACTACATAGCCAAAAAGGCATTAACAGTTGTTAACCTAATCTTATGTAGCTTTTTCTCTGGTAATATTACACTAATAACTAGAGCATACAAAACATTTGCTAGACCAATACTTGAATACAGCTCATCAGTCTGGAACCCACATTACGTATCTGATATTAACACAGATGAGAAAGTCCAGAAATATTTCACAAGAAGAGTTCTCCACTCCTCTACTCGTTGCAGAATACCTTATACCACCAGACTTGAAATTCTAGACCTAGACAACCTAGAACTACGCCGCCTTCAGTCTAAGTATAGTATATAAAGTCATACATTGCAATGTCCTATCTGTCAATGATTACTTCAGCTTCAACCACAACAATACAAGAGCAAACAATAGATACAAACTCAAGGTTAATTGCACCAAACTTGATTGCAGGAAATACGACTTCAGCAACAGAGTGATCAATGTCTGGAATACTCTACCTGACTCTGTGGTTTCTTCCCCAAATCTCAAACATTTTAACCTTAGACTGTCTACTGTTGACCTCACCCTTTTCCTAAGAGGTCTATAGGGGGCGTGCATAAGCGCACCAACGTGCCTACCGTCCCTGTCTTATTGTTTCTTTTATTTTTTTTATTTTTCTTATATGTATCCATGTATTCATAGCTATGTTTTTACTTATACCTATTATCTTGTAAGCAATTGACAAATAAAAATAAATAAATAAATTCCCCTTATTGTTTCCTCCTGCCAAATTTACTACTCCTGCCAAATCTTCTGGCTGACTATTGAACTGGCCGCTTTCTAGATAGCTGTCTGAATGGGTTGCTTGTAGCAATGAATTGCCATACTGGGTATCTTTGCAGGTAAATATTCCAGACCTCTTAATAAAGGATCACCTGGAAAAGTCTCTCAAAGTGGCCCATACACTTATTTGGGAAGAAAGACAATGAGTCCAGAGTGTAAGATGCCTGAAGTGCGACAAAGCACAGATGACTTTAGATAAAGCTATTCAGGGTTTGTAGTCTCTTTGGTCTAATCCTTTTTTCTCCCTTACAGTTCATTCGCCTCTCCGACTCATCTGATCCTGCAAATGCCTATGCTTTAGTAACGAATCACTGGAAAATCCCACATCCCAACTTGGTGGTGTCAGTGGTAGGAGGCGAAGGTGAGGGGCCCGTAAAGGCCTGGCTCAAAGATGTGCTGAGAAAGGGGCTGGTTAAAGCAGCTCAGAGCACAGGTAATCTCTTCCTGCGGTTTGCTTTAATTTTATTAATCATTTAAAACATCACTGCAGAACAAGGGGCTGAAGCTTTTGAAGGGAGGGTTGGGAAGCCAACAGTTAGTTTGATGTGGGGTACATTTGAATAATGATGAATGGGTATGCTAGCATATCTTTGCTATTGCAACAATTACTTAAGAAAGGCTTTCTTGGGTGTAAAGTTATTGAAAGATACGTGTGCATATTACATAGCAATTAGGTAAACCTAAGTAAACATGCTTCTTAGTTTAGGTTTCTTGAATATAAAAAGAATAGGAATATTTAACAAAGAAATAATGAAGGATATTTTGAACAATGGATCCAGAAGTTGATTTTAAGAACGTAACCAGTATAGATAACCTTTAAAAGATATTGTGGAAGAGGAAAAAGATTCACTGGACAAGATTGAAACTGGTCTGAAAGTGGTTTTAAAAATGATAAGCTTTAAGAATATATGCAAAACAGTGTTATACTGGATATATAAATAAAATTAGCTGATGTCTTATTAATTAAAGGGAATATGCTAATAACAAACTGTGGATAGCTTACATTGGATTTATAAAAGAGATGTTAAAATTTTGAAGCATTTTGTGAATAGGGATAAAGAAAAAATGAACAGAAATCAAGTTTTAGGACATCGCATAATACAGAATTTAATTTATGAACTGTATATACTGCTTCTTCAGTTTGCTGGGTGGTGAATTGTGTCTGCTTAATCTGGCTGCCTCTACTAGCAAGATATGCAGGAAAAATACTGAAACCTTTGTTCCGTGTTTGGCAAATTGTATGGTTTTGGCTAAGACTTTTCTGATACAACTTATTGCAGGAGTAAAGAAAGGTGTGGAGGGGTGGTGTAATTATTCAGCAGGGAGTACACTTGCATGGACAAATTCTCCCTTCCTTAAGGGTGTCTTTTTTTTAAAAAAAATCTGACTTTATATGCATAATACAGGTGTTTCTGGTTGTGTAATAGCAATTGTGTTTGAAAAAATAATGCTGAATCTATGGATGGGTGGTTGCTGAAAAGGCTGGTTGTAACCTGATTGATCCTTTAATGGGTGCCTTTTTGAGATAAGAACTTATACTGTAACATGTACTAAGGTTGCAGTTTGTTTAATGGTCATGCAAGGTCAGTCATGTGAGCTATCATAATAGATCTAGCTGGGTGATAGTAGTAAAGGAAATATTCAGGCATAATTCTGATAGCTTGGCTTAGGATTCCACAGTGTGGCCAAAAAAATCTGATCATGTTTTTCATCATGATTTCTTAAACTGTCTTGTGATCATTTAAAAAACAACAACTGAATAATACTTAATTTATTTAATTTCAATGTTCATATGATTTCCCAAACATTGAAATACCGTGAATAGCCAATATACTTATGTAGTTCTTACTGTATTTATTACACCTACACAGGTGCCTGGATTATGACAAGTGGTCTCCAAGCTGGTGTGGGCCGGTATGTGGGAGAAGCGGTGAGAGACCACGCTATGGCCAGTACCAGCCGCAGCACTCATGTTGTAGCAATGGGCATTGCTCCATGGGGTATCGTTGAACAGCACCATTGCCTTGTCAACCCCAAGGTAGGAGGGCTGGAGAAGGGAAATGCTACCAGAGATGATGAATTAAGGCTGGGAAGTTTAACAAAGTTACAAGTTGAGGTGTGAAGTCCTAAGACCATAGGCACCTCCTGGAACCCATAAACATGGTCCATAAAAGTCCACACTCAAGTTTAATATCCAAAATGGAAAACTAATACACGAAGAGTGAGCTACTTTAACTATATTTGAATAATTTGATTAAATTAATTCAGTTAATTATTACAGTGCTGATTTACCCATTTCTTTTCCCTTGCCCTATATGTTCTATATCTCCCAGCAAGCCATTTAATTCTTGACCTCTCAAAAGTTGAGTTCCTAATTTAACTCAAAGTGACAAAAGGCAATGATGCCTGTCTTTATTTTGTTTGATTAATCTGCTTCTTTTCTTATCCAAAAGGGTTCCTTCCCAGCACGTTACCCCAGGACAAACCCTGCGAGTCCTTTCTGCCCTCTAGATGCCAATCATTCTGCCTTCTTCTTGGTGGACAATGGGACACTGGGCAGAGCAGGCGGAGAGACCGCCTTCCGAGCCCGTTTGGAACGCTATATTGCCCAGCAAAAAGTGGGAGCTGGAGGTGAGGAATTTCTTATGTAGACAGGAACATAAAACATGGAACAGGAAGTTACCCTGTTTATCATGCTCCCTGCAACAGACTAATAGTATTTTCTTATCTCCAGATGTGTCAGACTTCAGCTTCTATAATCCTTAGATAGGTAAATCTAAAGAACATACAGTAAGAGTTGCACTTTAATATCACTAAAGTCACTAAATTGGGGGAAATCTGTTCTGCATCCTTTAAAATGTGGTCCGAAAGCTAGCTTTCTCAGGGTGAAGTATAAGCTCTGTGTTCAGGGGTTCCTGCTCGGAGGTGAAGGTTCATCCAGACTCACAACTTTTATGTTCTTCTCTAGTTCTATTTCCTTTATTTTTGGATCTTTACTTTATGAAAAGAAACCCCCTCCTGTTTTGTAAGTCTCTGACTCTAGTCTGCTTGCTGACTCCACTGTGTCTACAACAACAGTTTATCTGTCCTTCGATCAGAGGATACTCTTTCCTCCAATTCTTTAGGAATACAATGTTCTGGCAAGCCTCATTACAGACACTTTGCACCTAAATATCAATTCTGTTAATTACTCCCAAGCCAGAGAATTATAGTGGTTAATCCATATTTACTCATAATTATGTGGGCTGCTCTTCTATACCTTTATGCCCCAGATTAACCTTTTTTCATAGAAATTTCTTTTCTTCTGCAATGACCTTGAAAAGCTAGGCAGGTTTGAACCGGGATAACAACTTACAAGAGGAAAGGAAAGGAATCCCTGCTGATTTTACTTCTAATAAAATCAGTGCTGACTACAGGGGGCCATGCTCATCTCCATTTCAACTTCATCTCCATTGAGCCAGTGCTATCCAAAGACATTCCTGTGGCCAGTGTGACATCACAGAGAACTGTTTCTCCCCAAGTACTTATTTATCTACTTGCATTTGTGTGCTTTCTAATTGCTAGGTGGGCAGGAGCTAGATGAAGATGCTTGGGTCTCAAACCTGGCCTGTAGGTTTTCCAGCTGACAAGCCCAGTTTCTTAACAACTGAGCCATCACACTGCCCAAGAGCTGAGCCATCATGCCACCACTTACACAAGAGACTCTAGAAAACCCCATGGTTGTAGGCAAGACTGAAAAAGTAGGAAAAAAGAAAGCAGTGACAAATCACTTTCATACTATGGCCAAAAACCAATATGATGTATCTATGTCATTCATCAACTAAGTTCAAACTCAATTTAGTTTGAGGATATCATTATCTTGGCCTTATTTTCTTCCCAGAGCGGTAGCAAAATATGTTTGCATTTGGTCTTCCAACATCATTTTACTTGGACTTGGTTTGGCCACTGTTCCCTTAACTAATTTCCCCCCATTTTGCCATTCCTCCACCCTATAGGTGAAGGGAGCATTGAGATTCCTGTGTTGCTACTGCTCATCAGTGGGGACTCAGCCATATTCAAGGTAAAGGAACTGAGATTTTGTGGAAGAAGATGTAGTGTCCTGGAACAGAAATAGTTTCACCATCAGTTTTTAAGGAAGTGGTCCATAGTTCCACTCCAAGGATAACAGGGTTAAGTTATCACATTTGGACATGAAGGAATGTAACCCTCTTTTTCCAGTGAAAGAGTGCTCCATAAATTTTTTTGGAGAGAGAACAGAGATGGTATTCATCAAGTTCTGACCAGTTCTGGAGAACCGGTAGCAGAAACTTTGAGTAGTTCGGAGAACTGACAAATACCACCTCTGATTGGAGATTTTACAGTATCCTTCCCCTGCTACGCCCACCAAGCCACGCCCACAGAACCAGTAGTAAAAAAAATTTGAATCCCACCACTGACTGAGAGAACAAAATTAATTTAAGGAGAAAGCAATAATAAGACTATTAAGACCAAAATTGCAGTTACCTAAATCGGCTGTGGGTTTAGAAAGACAAAAAAGAAGCACAGAACTGAAAAATGGAATAGACCAAGATGGAAAGTTTGGTCTTCCTATGCACAGTATATGTAATATGGGAAAAATATGTAAAACCCCTGGTGAAATTCATATGTGTTAAAAAAATGAAAAGGAAGGAAAGATATGACAATAGAATATAGATAAGGCATTCTGGAAACAAACTAAGAGATGGAGAGAAGGATCATGAAATGTGAGATAGCAATTATCCTTATGGAAGAAGGTGTGAGCGGAAAATATATCCAGGTTTTGAATTCTTAAAGATAGGTGGGACAATAACAACGAGAGGAGAAAGTTAAAGATGTGAGATCATGGGAGTTGAGAACAGCAGTGAACCTGATCAGACATTAACAAATTAAAATTCAGAGGTCAAAGGGCAAGAGAAAGACAATGAGGAATGTGTGGGGAGGATGAAGCTGGTTGGAGATGATGAGAGAAGATGAAACACTAGATTGAGGATGAATCTTTGTAGCTCCTTCCTGAAGTGCATGTTAGTCATACCAATTGTTTCTGCCTTGTTCATTTCCTAAGCGTGTATCAGAGGCTGTGCATGCCTCCATTCCCTGCCTCCTTCTAGCTGGATCTGGGGGAGCAGCAGACTGCTTAGCTGAATTGTTGGAAGAGACCCAACCTGGGGAGTCCCTGAAAACTCTGGCAATGAAGAAAATGCAGGGGAAATTCCCAGACAATGATTTGGAGGAGTTGGCTGAGCAGGTAGGACCTAGTATGCAATGCCTTTCCATCTCTCCTTTCTTTTTATGTCAATATTTCCTCCTGTTCTGGACTACATTTCAGAACTCAAAAATCCAAAAGATATTGGCCCTGGATAAATCTATCTCTGTCTCTGTCTCTCTCTCTTTTTAACTCTCTCTCTCTGTACGATTTTTCTAAGATAAGTGTACTGACTTGTCTACATGTCTTCTTGTCAGGTGGAAAGCATTGGGAATCTGAGGGAATTGGTGACTGTCTATTCAGACCAAGAAGGTTTGGAGGAGTTTGAGACTGTCCTGCTTAAAGCTCTGGTGAAAGGTAATTAGTTCATCACATATATCCCTAAATCAAAGATAGGCAGCTTTTTCACATAATAGCGATGGATACAAATATGCAGTCTCATACAGTGCTGTGGACACTTTTACCTAGATTGAATTGAAAACAGAAAAAAACTTACATCATCAAACCTCAGAAGTTTTCAACAGTCTTATGGTTTGGATTTCATCAAACAACTGAATTCATACAAGACTTGATTTTACTGATGTGTGTGTTTCTATAATGTGTCACATATCGTATCCAAGAATCATAATGGCAGATTTTGTTAGCTTGATTTCTCATTTTTATCAAACCTTCTTTATCATTTAGAAAAACATTATATAAAGGGGGCGTGCATAAGCGCACCATCGTGCCTACCGTCCCTGTCCTATTGTTTCTCTTATTCTTTTATTTTTCTTATATGTACCCATTTCATGTATTCACAACTATGTATACACTTATACTTATTATCTTGTAAACAATTGGCAAATCAAATAAATAAAATAAATAGGGATAGAATCAAGATGATATGAAGTGTTAATACCACTTTATAATGCCTTGGTAAGGCCACACTTGGAATACTACACCCAGTTTTGGTCACCATGGTCTAAAAAAATTGTTGAAACAGTAGAACGAATGCAGAGAGGAGCAATAAAGATGAATAGAGGAACGGAGAACAGTTGCTGTATGTCTAATTTCATGAAAAGAAGGACTAGGGGTGACATGATAGCAGTGTTCTGATCTCTCAGGGGCTGCCACAAAGAAGCAGGAGTCAAGCTATTTTCCAAAGCACCTGAGGGTAGGATAAGAAGCAATCAGTGGAAACTAGTCAAGGAGAGAAGCAACTTAGAACTAAGGAGAAATTTCCTGACAGTTAGAACAATTAATCAATGGAACAATTTGCCTCCAGAGGTTGTGAATGCTCCACCACTGAAAGTTTTTTTTTTTTGTAAATTTTATTTGAGTTTTCACAAAGAGGAAAAAAATACAAATAAAACATCTTTTTTGAAAGTAGCGTAATCCCGGGTTACATTTCTTCGTGCAGACACAAATTCAAGTTCATGCTCATTTTTATATTCTATTCCATATCTTATTACTATTTACATTTTCTGCATAGCTTCTCCCCTCTTTTAATTTTCTCAATTTTATTTTAATTATCTCATCTCAATTCAAATCATTGTATTTATATTTTTTGTCTGTCCTGTTTCAATTATCTATTATCTTTTCTCATTAAACAAAATTTATCCTGTAGTTACAGATTGGAGTATGACGCCTTTATATCTTTTAAGTTTATCCATTTAACTCTTATTTAGGCTTCAATATATACCCTAAAGTTATAACATTCAATATAATACATAACTTCCATTCGGATTCTACTTGGTACATTCTTAAAATACACACTATATTCTTAAAAAAAGAAAAAATTATAAATGTATGTAATTAAAACAACACATTCCATTCTAATTCAATTCTATCATTAATATTAATATTCATTAAAGTCTTAACATCTTTAACATTACTTTTCAATTAAATATCATACTTCTATGGGAACAATTATAAGCTTTCCTTAATTAATTCCTCCCTTCACTTATATTTTATAAAACATTAACTAATTAAAATGTTCCCATTCCTTCCTAATTCAATTTTCTCATTTATTTTATTTCACTTATTCTATTAACAAACATTTAACCAAATTACACTAACTATTTTATCCCTCCTTTTAATCATACATTGTTTCCAATTTTCTAAAGTTATTTCTATTACTAATATAGCAATACAATCTTATGTACCTTTACAGAATCCCTTTTTCAGTTAGATTTTCACCCATTATCTCTAAATAGGTCCTGTTTCTCTATATCTTGCTCCAGTCCTTTGTAACTTCTTTTCCTTTCCTTCTTCCCTCTCTTCTTCTCTCTCCCCTTTTTATCCTCTTGTCTCTCTACCTCTATTTCTCTCTTCTGTATTCCCCTTTTGTGTTGCTTTCCAATATTATACTTATTTTTCTAATTATTTTTCTTTTCTTTGGTTGTTTTTTTAAGTCTTAAATTCTCCATTCTCTTTCCCCCCTTTCCTTTTTCTTCCCCACATAAAATTACTTGTTCATTAAAGATGACTGCTTCTTTGTCTCAGTCTTCTTGTTTTGCAGACGTTTCTTGTTGTTTCGTTCCAAATCTCAATTTCTAAGAATTGAAAAACGAAGCCAAAAGAACCCTTCCCTTCTTGTGCATCTTCTTTGTACTTTTAAAGTTCCATTTTCAATTCATCCAGAAGTGGTGCCATTGTATAAATTTTTAAACAACCACCCAATTAATTTTAGTCATTCAAATGTAATAACCAAGAATCCAAAGATCACCAAATAATCCAAATATACGCAAGCTGTTTCTTTTTGCTCTTTTTTTTCACTTTCTCTTCCTGGGGTTACTGTTTAGTTACAAAGTTTCAGTTAAAATGTATCTTTTAGAAGTCTTGTTGAAGTTTTACTATAGATTCTTTTTAATTCCAGGCAGTCTCCTTCCTCTTCCAGATCCTGCCCTTATTCTTTTTCTCTCCCTTCCTGCTTATGAAAAAAAAAATTTTTTAGTGTCCAGAAATCTTTATTATCCTTTTGACATTTTGTTTTATTTTCAGCTTAATTGCCTATTGATGTCAAAGCGGATTTTTCCGATTTCTTATTTAAGTCTCTTAGTTGTCAGTATTGGGAAGGAGAGAGAAGAAAAAAAACCCAAACCTTTCCCTTTTCACTTTCCTTCGCTGCTTCCGACCCTTCTTGGGGAGCGATGTTATTTTTTTGTAAGTTTAAATTCCAGGGTACCTTAGTTGTTGCTTTTTCGACTTAACCCGGTCAGCCAAAACTTTCACTTCTTATCTTCCTCCTGCACATTCTTTTCTGGTCAAGTTCTTCTTTGTGGTGGCCATTTCTGACCACTGCTGCAACCGCCTTCAGGAAAGGGAGTAATGGCCAGCTGAGGAGGAGAGATGTGGCTCTCCTCAACCCTGCTGGCGGTCTCCCCCCTCTTCACCACCTCTACAGGGTGGCTTAGCCCTGAAACCAGCCGGCTCGGGGCGTTCCAGCGGCGAGCCCAGACCGAAACCGTGCACGATCACGGATTTCTGTCTGTCGCTGAAGAGACTTCAAACCGGAAGCCACCAACACTGAAAGTTTTAAAGAAGAGATTGGATTGCCTGAAATGGTATATAACCCGCCTAAGCAGGGGGTTGGACTAGAAGACCTCCAAGTCCCTTCCAATTCTGTTATTCTGTTACGTTATATCCCGTATTTCAGAATTCAGATCCCATGAAGACCTTATATTTATATCATCAGTTATAAATAAAAACAAAATATAGTAATAATCTTGTACATATTTAAAAAGTTATAACATACTCAATTTAGGGAGACACTCTAGGAAAAGAGCAATATTAGTCAAAGATGACATAAAATCAAAAGGATCATCTTTTCCAACTAACATATTTTAATTAAAAGAGCTTTTATGGGCAGCTCAGAAAAGCGAATGGGTTTTAAGAAGATTTTTTTAGTCTGATGCTATTCCTTCTAATTTTAAATCAGGGGAAATGATTATCAGCTTCATTCTGTGTACAGGTAGTCCTTGCCTTATAACAGTTTGTTTAGTGACTGTTTAAAGTTACAACGACACTGAAAAAAGTGACTCACACTTATGGCCGTTGCAGCATCCCCGTGATCAAGTGATCGAAATTCAGATGGGATGGGATTACCTTTTGCGATTTTCTGACAAGTGAAGTTAATGGGGAAGCCAGATTCACTTAACAACCAGGCCACTGACTTATCAACTGCAGTGATTCACTTAACAACTGGGGCAAGAAAGGTCATAAAATGGGGACAAAACTCACTTAACAACAGAAAAAATTGGTTCAATTGTGATCATAAGTCGAGGACTGCCTGTATTCTGTTCTGGCATGAGGCTACTGTAGTTTTTAAGCCGACCATATGCAGAAAGCATTCAGTTTCTTGATTTTAAAAGAATGCATCATGCCCACCTCAACATACTATTTGGCATATGGCTGGATCAGGTAAATTAGGAGCTTCAGTTAAAAAAAAAAAAGATTACCCCTCCTTTTAAATAAATCAACTCGGTTCCAATCAGTTATGCTTTTTTAGGATTAGGAGAAACAGTAATTATGTCTTCTTATTTTAATACAATGGAAGTTAATGTTATATGGAATATTTAGACATGGGTGTTGTTGTTTTTTAGTGGAGCCTTGTCCCCAAAGGGTGTCTGCTGGATTCACTAAGATTCCAGTTCCAAGAATTGCTGTCCCCAACTATGTAAGAAATATCACAAACAACCTAAGACTGAACTCCATAAGAAATCTCTCTGGCAACTCCATTTTATTTATCATGTATTGCCACTTTGGCAATAACATGTATTTGCAAATCAGTGGCACAGCCACGAACACACAGGGCTCAGAGGTGGTATTCAGCTGGATCGGATCGGATCTGGCATACCAGTAGCCAAAATTTTGATTGGTTCGGAGAAACGGCAAATACTACCTCTGGCTGGCCCCGCCTACCCATCCTTGCCATTATATTTCCTTGGTTTTTTAGGTGCACATAGAACCGGTAGGGAAAAAATTGGAACCCAACCACTGTCAGGGCTCCTAAATATGCAAACATCTTTATGGTTGTCTTAATGTTCTCAACTCCCATTCATGAAGCCCCTCCCTTATTTGAGATTAATTGATGAGATAGCATCATATGTACCCATGGAAATTACATCCTATTATGATTTCAACAGCTTGGTTAGACATTCCTAAATGACTAGACAGTGACTATGCTATGACACACCTTTGACAGTGGGAGATTTGGAGACTGTACTAGCAATAAAAGAAAGGAAATCTTGGAGATGATGTCATGCATATATCTCACTGAAGATATAGATAATCCTCAGCTTATGATCCTAAACCTCATTGTGGTCATAATTGGCCAACCTGATTTTACAACTTTTTTGTGACAACTGATAAGCAAATGCAGGGGTTACTAAGCAAACCAGTAAGAACCTGTTCCATTGAAAACAAGTAGCTGCCAGTTTTTGACAAAAACATAACATGCTGTCATGTGACTGTAGGATTCTGCAAACAACCATAAATGCAGGCCAATTGTTAATTATCCCAAATGTGGTCATGTGACTGTGTGGGAGTGGCTGTTGGAATTTCAGAACTGGATCGTAATTATCCCTGGAAAACTCTAAGCATTGTAAGGTTGTAAGTCGAGAATTACCTATAAATATTGCAAAAATTGCCTTAAAAGTGCAGTAGCTGTTTTATCAATATGGAGCTGGGCAGAAAAAATAACTGACGTTTAAATTATAACAAAACTATGAACAAGGATGTTTATAATTCTTTTTTCTCCTCCTGGCAGCATGCAAGCGGTCAAGCAAGGCCACCTGTTATCTGGATGAGCTACGTCTGGCAGTAGCTTGGAATCGGGTGGACATTGCCAGCACAGAACTGTTCCGTGGGGACATTCTCTGGGAGGTGGGTTGGCAGATTTGTTTTAGCATTTAATCCTTTACTGGAACATACAAAAAAAGTATGTGAGGAACACAGAATAGAGAAGAATAAGCCTTGAATTAAGTTGTTTTGAGTATATAAAGAGCCTTCCCTATATTTTGTCTTTGGTGGACTCTGGTTTTCATAACCTCAAAGTAGCATATGGGTTGAACAAATGCATATGGGGATCAATTGATTGTGAAGGTTGGCTGGATGTGTGCATAGCTCATGCCAATGTATACCAGACCTGCTCAGAAATATTATTTTAGTGCTCATAAAGAATTGGTACTCCAACTTTAAACAATATTCCCTGTACTTTCAAAAAATCAAGATGAACATAGTAGCACTTTCTTAGATTCACAATGTTTTTAAAAAAGACAAAAGCTTTCATCAGCTGGTAGTATGCCACTCACAAAAAGTATGTGCCATTTAATAAAATCTATGAGTCTGGTAAAGTACTAGTAGGCTCCACCTGATTTGGGGCTATTATAGTACAGATTAACATGGCTCTCTTCCCACAATGTCCATATTTGCAAAATTATACTTTTTTTTAAGTACAGTGATGCCATTCAATTATTTTAGTGTTCAGACCTAATGTTTTCTTTCTTCAATAAATTGTGAGATTTGGTAAGCCATTGCTGCTGCATTTGGAAACCTCTGCCCATTTTATTATCCTTGGATTCTTTCCCAAACTTATGCTGGGGTAATGAGGCTTTCCATCTCTCCTTTCTTTTTGAGGAAAAGGGAGATGAGTTGAAGACTAGCCACAAATTATTTGGGAAGAAGCAGAATATGGAGAGAATAGGCAATACAAGGAGAATCCTTTATTTGAGAGACAAAAATATGCCCATTGTTCATCCCAAAACCTTTCCAGGATAGTTAAAGTATGATGATCTGTCAAAAGTCTTACTGACTTTGTGAATGACACATTGCCAAGGATCATCAGGGCTGCATCAACAAATGTTCCTGGCTAAGGTGAAGGATGGAATGGTACTCAGAAACAGAACTGGCTGAACGTATCTGAGTCCTGGTGATGGAATAATATCCTCTAGCACAGCACTAGAAGAGAGCAGTCATGGGTTCATAGAAGAATAACTTGTTCTACCCATAACCCTGCAAGTTGCTATTACTACACTTTAGCTACTGGAGTACATACTTTGATCTCCAGGTAATTGCAAACATCTACTCTCTTGAGACATAAATAGTTTATTCTTATTCTTCCTCTCTCATTTCTTGCAGCCCAGCCTGCTGGAGAACCCAATGCGTGATGCATTGCTGGGTAATCGAACTGACTTAGTGCGCCTCTTTGTGGAGAATGGCTTGGATGTAGGACAGTTCCTGACATGGGGAAAACTGGAACAGCTGTATGCTGGGTCCCCCAAGGTCTCACTGCTGCACCAACTTTTGGAGCGATGCCATGGGACAGGCTCTGAGCCATCAACCTCTCCTGAAGACTTGCTACTGAAACAATCTTTGCCTGATTGCCATTTATCTCATGTGGCTTTTATTCTGCACGAGCTACTAGGGAATGTCTGTGCTCCTTTTTATGCAGGACTATACCCTACTGGCCACAGAGGGATAGGCGTAAGTGGTAATATTCTGTGTACATTCAATTAGATAGGGAGTACATGAAGACAAGTAGGATGCTTTGAGAACTGGGAAGCATGAACACCAAGGCACTCTAGTTGTTAAGATATTGGATTGAAAACAGAAAGACCAAGATTCTTAACTCTGTTCAACCACGCAATTCACTAGTTGTCTGTCTCAGCCAAGCTTATCTCACAGGTTTGTTGTTGCGAGGATAATATGTGCAGAGTTTACCCTGTTCATTTCTCAGCTTGACTCTCCGAGGGAAAGTAGGAGATAAGCTAAATAAATGTGGTTCTCTTATGGTTGCTGCTTTAAACCTATTTTTCTTTAAAACAGCGGTCTCCGATCTTGGCAACTTGAAGACCTGTGGACTTCAGAAAAGCCGGCTGAGGAATTCTGGGAGTTGAAGTCCACAGGTCTTCAAGTTGCTGAGATTGGAGACCCCTGCTTTAGAAGAGGGCAGCATTTTAAATAAAATAATTTCAAAAAATGGGAAAGGAACCTTTGTGGTTCTCTGAGTGTCAAATTTCAAGAAATTTCTCCCATTTCCATTTCCTCCCTACAACATTCTTCTTATGAGCAAAAGGATGGAAATGCTCCTAAAAGGTCTGGCTTATCCAGGCATTTTAACACTTTGAACTTAAATGGCATGCATTGTTTCAAAAATCACTTATGGTAGTACATTATTATTCCAAGTAATTACTAAAATAATTGATTTCAAAAATTGAAAAGTAGATCTATTTTATAATCTTGTAATAGTAGAAGTTCAAATCTGTATAATTCACAATGTTTGTTGTGGCTGAAACACATTTTTGATATCAGATTTTGTGAGTTTTAAAAATAGTTTCCAGTTTCATTGTGAGGAAACAGGCACTGTTTTAAAAACAGTTTTAGCGCTTGAGAGGTTTGGAACATATTAACTTTATTTTAAAAATCTTCGGATTTCTGATGTTGCTAAGGGTAAAGTTTGAGTTAAGTTTTGGTTTCAATTTTGATAATGGATTTTGATTAATGTATGAAACCAACCCAAGACAAGAATGTGTGTCTGTGAATGTTTTCTTCCTCGTGCTGATCAAGATGTTTTCTCTGCTTAGAAAAAAGTATTATTACTAAATGGAGATTCCACATACCAACATGAGCTGTCACCAAACCCATGGACTGATCTATTTATCTGGGCAGTGTTGCTGAATCGAAAAGAGATGGCAATTTACTTCTGGGAAATGGTCTGTATTTTTATATGAATCTAGCAATAATATTTAGCAGTGTCTCTTACAGAATACCATAGAAATATTATGTTGCAAACGCATAGAAAGGATGATATAACTGCTACGAATTCCTCTGCTATCACAGAACTTGCTGAGCCACTTCAGTGCTTTCCCTCACATATAAATTCAAAAGAAGTTAAGCAAAATAATGGGTGGGCCTTCTTTAATAGACGGTAGGGTGCGATTAGGAATGTAAGCAGATACTGTGGAAATCATGCATGGTCAACAGTCAAGTTGCTTGATTAACAGACACTATGGGCCTTCCATGCGTAAGCTCTGTCAATCAACCTATTTCTGAACATGATTTTAGTACTCTTTTAAAAGAGTGCTAAACTCATATTTAAATATAAGGCTGTCTGGCAGGTGCATATATGGAGAAAGAGCAAGAGATGAAGCAACAGGAAGCTCTTACAATTTATCTGGTAAGGTTCTTTTCTTCATCATAAGTGTGTTCTGCTCTTGTAAGGATAAAGCAAAAGAGTCAATCAATATCAAACATGCTCTTTCTTCAATTCGTGTTGTAAAGAAATGGAAATGCATCGCAACAGCAAATGATAACAGCCATAGAGTAGATAAAATAACAGTACTATCCTTCCTGAAAATAATAGAAATAGTGAGTACTATGACTGCATGAAATCCTTTGTCAGCAGAAGCAGAAGAAAATCTGTTTACACACTTACTGGTTTGCTGGTCTGTCCTGTAATAAAAATGCATTGAAGACACTTATTGGTGGCAACAGCATGTAGCTAGCAGAACCCAGCTCTTACTTCAATTTAAGTTGACTTTCTTGTGTGGTGCAAGACTACTGGACACAGGTCTAGTGTTCTTTCAGAAAACACTAAACCCATGTCCCAAAAGTGTTTTTTCAAAAGGCAACTGGACATTTTCAGTCCTGAAGGAGAAGTGAAACATTTTCAAGGAAAAAACCTCAAGAAAGTCCAATTGCCTTTGGGAAAAACATCTTTGGGACAGCCATGACCTGGATGATTGAGAATCTCCATAGGCACTAAAGCCATGTATACAAAGAGCTTACATGAGACTTCACAAGCATTTTGAAAGGCATCAGGCAAACATTAGGGCAGAATCCGCCATGAAAGATAGGTGTTTGGTTTCTCCAGTAACTAAAAAAAATGACCCTGGAGAATAGTATGCAAATGGCTAGAGGAGGAGGTCACTCTAGGAGTCAATAGGAGCAGAGAAGCTCCTAACCTTTGGTCACATCATCAACTACATTGACCTCACCCATTTCCTAAGTGGTCTGTAGGGGGCGTGCATAAGCGCACCAACCTGCCTACTGTCTCTGTCCTATAGTTTCTTTTTATTTTTCTTATATATATATCCATTTCATGTATTCATAACTATGTTTATACTTATACATGTTATCTTATAATAGCTTGACAAATAAATAAATTGTTGATGAAACATCCTAGAAGGATAACAGCACCATGGCAAAAGCCATATCAGGAGAAAAGGGAAAGTGCTACAATAAAAGTGAAACAACTTTAAGACAACTTTAAACTGCTTCTCTTGTGGGCTTGGGATGAGACAAAATCAATGTCATTGGGACACCCATTTCAAAATGTCCCAAAATGGTTAATGGAGCATGTGGATGCTGTTACTAAAAGGATATAGGGGTGGCAGTCATTCATCTCATGCTATATATCAGGGGTGTCCAACCTTGGCAACTTTAAGATTTGTGGACTTCAACTTCCAGAATTCCTCAATTAGCCATGCTGGCTGGGGAATTCTGGGAGCTGAAGTCCACAAGTCTTAAAGTTGCCAAGGTTGGACACCCCTGATATATATGCTTTATGCGGTGAGCAAAAGCAAAGAAACAAGCCTGCCCACAATTGTCACAGTGCTGGTGGAATAACAATGGATGGGGATGAAATGACTAGCAACGGATGGTAATGGATAGTGATGAGACATCTTGGTAACACAGAAGGGAGAGAGTTGAATCTAGAAGCCACAAAACAAGTAGGTATTTCCAACAGTGGGAAACTCCCTACCCTACAGCTCAAGAAGAATTGCTGTTGCCAAATTTCTTCCCTTCTCAAGGCTGATCCAAGCCTTTAGCATTGTGGAGACATAGAAACACATCGCCAGATCCACATTACCATGGCGCTGATGTGTAAATGAGTGAATCCAATTCAGAAAAGCATTCCTAATTCATTCCCTCTCCCTCTCCCTCCCTCTCCCTCTTTCTTTCTCTCTCTCCCTCTCTCTCCCTCTCCCTTTCCCTCTTTTTCCTCCCTCCCCCGCTCCATTATCAAGTAGTAGCCAGAGGGTGGGGAGGTAAGTCAAACCCAGGAATGATTCAGAGGAAAAGAGAAAATTTGCTAATTAATTAATTCAGCTGCTCTTACATTTTAAAAAGTGTCTGCTTTAACTATGACTCTGTGGGTCTCATATAATTGCCTTTTCGGGAGCTGAGTGGATGGGATAGGGGAGAAAGCAGAAGAATATGCTTAGAATGAAAGTCAATGACTTATTTTCTATGCCAATAGAAATAAATGTTCCACAGAAGGATGTATGAGGTTTTGCAGTAGTAATAATTTTCTAAACTGAAATTGCTGCTCAGGAAGCAAGTGCAAATAAAATAAAAACACATTATAATTGTCAAAGGAATAGAAGATGCTATAGGAACAATGTGTTTTGGTGACTAATAACATTGCAGTGGCAGAGTTCTGTTGCTCCGCAATTACAGGCAAACTCAAATAATCTTTTTTCCCCCTCAGCATTTGTTGCAGTTTATTTTACAGACAAGAAATAGAGTTCCTGAAGGAAGAAAACATTGAGGAAAAGTTCCCCTAATCTTAAATCAGTTTCACAATTAGATGAAATCTAATATTACTCAGTTTCTGAAATCCTTTTTTTAAAAATTTATTTATTTATTTTGTCAAGAGCTTACAATATAACAGAAACAAGAACAAACATAAGTTTAAATACAAGAAATAGGAACTTATAATTGGGGACAATAGGACGGGGACAGTAGGCACGATTGTGCGCTTATGCACGCCCCTTACAGACAGATCTCTTAGGAATGGGGTGAGGTCAACAGAGGTTAGTTTGAGGGTAAAGGAGTGGGGGTTTGAGCAGGTGACAACAGAATCAGGTAGTGAGTTCCAGACATTGACCACTCTGTTGCTGAAATCGTACTTCCTGCAATCAAGTTTGAAGTGGTTTACATTAAGTTTATATCTGTTGTGTGCTCTTTTGTTGCTGTAGTTAAAGCTGAAATATTCATTAACTGGTAAGGCGTTGTAACATATGATTTTGTGTACTATGCTTAAGTTCAATTTTACCTGGCGTAGTTCAAGGTTGTCTAAGCCTAGAATCTCAAGTCTGGTGCTGTAGGGTATTCTGTTGCGAACAGAGGAATGTAGTACTCTTCCGGTAAAATACTTCTGGACTCGCTCAATTGTATTTATGTCTGATATACAGTGCAGATTCCAGACAGCAGAGCTGAATTCAAGTATTGGTCTAGCAAAGGTTTTGAACGCCCTAGTTTGCAAATCAGTATTACCAGAGGAGAAGCTTTGTAAAATTAAATTTACAACTCTTAAAGCCTTTTTGGCAATACTGTTGCAGTGAGCTTTGGTGCTTAGGTCATTCGATATGAGAACTCCAAGGTCCTTGACAGAGTGAGGGTCATCAACAAGGTCATATCCACCTAGCTTGTATTTGGTATATAGATCTTTTTTACCAATGTGTAGGACAGAGCATTTGTCGGTCAAGATTTGGAGTTGCCAACTGTTAGACCATTCAGACACATAATCAAGGTCTTTTTGAAGGACGGTAGCATTGATGGTGGTGTTGAATAGTTTTACATCATCAGCGAAGAGGATGCAGTTGCTAATAAGGTGATCACAAAGGTCATTTATATAGAAGGTAAAGAGTGTGGGTCCTAGAACGCTCCTTTGGGGGACACCGCTGATAACTGGTGTAGGGTTTGATAGGGTGTTTCCTATTTTTACTATTTGTTGTCTGTTTGACAGGAAGGCAGTAATCCACTTGTGAAGGGATCCGGAAATGCCATAAGAATTTAATTTTAATAGTAGTTTGTCATGTACCACTGAGTTTTGCAGAAATCAATGTAAATTACATCTATTGCTTTACGCTGGTTCAGTAGTGTAATCCATATGTTTTTGCAGTGTAGAAGTTGCAAATTGCAGGACAATTTTTTTCTGAAACCAAATTGTTTATTGGAGAGTAAGTTGTTTGATTCTAGGTGGAAGGTAATGCATTGATTAATAATTGATTCCATAACTTTGCACATGACACAACACAATGAGATTGTAGTTTTCAACCAGGCAGGGGTCACCTTTTTTGAAAATAGAGATGACCGTTGCTAAAGACCATAGGTTTGGTCAGGAGCTGGTTCTGAATGATATCTCATATATTATGCTTAGGGGTTCTGCTATGGTAGTGGAGAGCTTTTTTAAGAAGAATGCACATAAGCCATCAGGGCTTTAGGATAAGGATGGTTTTAGGTGGTGTAGTGCATTTTCTATGTTATCTTCAGTAAAGTCAATTTGTAGATCATTGCAGTTAGTTGTTGTATGATTAGGAAATGTGGGGCATGAGCCATTACTGTTCACAAAGACTGAACTGAAGAACATGTTGAAGAGGTTTGCCTTAATGGCTTCATCGCTATAGTCTTTCCCATTAGGACCTTTTAGGGGTGGGATGGTTTTTTAGTCTTTAAGTTTGGTGTTTACAAAGTTATAGAAGGCACGGATGGATTTTGTGCATAGATTTTCCTCTTGCTTGCAGTGGTAATTGGTGCATTCTGCCTTTATCTGTCAGCATAAGGTGTTGTATCGGTTTTTAAAGTTAGCTACGTATTTAGTTTGGTTTTTATGCCATAAGGATTTTTTTTAGATTGAAGTTTTCTTATTATTTTGGGTAAATTGTTTTTGATTTTGTTTTGGGGGGTTACTAGTGGAACATATAGTTTAATGACTCTTTCAAGTTCAAGCAAGAAGAAGTTATAATGTTCTTCTGTAGTGTTACAGCCAGAGAACAGAATGTGCCAATCGAGAGATGAAAAGTTGGCAGCTATGAGTTCATAATTGGCTTTTATAAAATTGTATTTCGGAGATCCATCATTATGATCCTCTTTGAGAGGGTGTAAATTTAGACAAAAGTCAATCATGCTATGGTCACTGTTTGAAAATGGTTCCTGTATTTGTAGGCCATAAATGGAGTTTGAACTGTTGTAGAAGATGAGGTCGAGGCAGTTGTTTAGTCTGGTGTTGTTATATACTAATTGATCCAGTGCCAATGTGGTAACAACATTGTACAGGGTTGTATGAATAGGTTCAGATGTACATTCATTTAGTGTCCAATTTATAAGAGGTAAGTTGAGGTCACCAAGAAAAATAAGAGGGTGTGGGCAAGAGGCAGCCCATGTCAGTAGTGAAGTTAGTTTGTTTGCATGAATTATATCATAGTCAGGGGCTCGATAGCAAAATAAGAAGCGGATTGAAGTATTTAAGGACAGTTCACAGACAATGGTCTCAGGAAGAGCAAGCTCTTGTATAATTTGAATCTTTTTTAGATTTAGAGACTTTTTATAGAATATAGCAACTCCACCACCTCTATGGATTTCGCAATCAGACTGATAAATTTGATATTCTCTTACAGTGGTAATGGAGTCTGGAAAAAGATGCATTCAACCACGTCTCACAGACAAATATAATGTCGAATGTGGCTGTGCTTAGTAAGATGAGGAATTCATGCATTTTATTTGTGAGGTAGTTTGCATTTAAGATATGAAGTCGTGGGTCTGGAGGAAGTAAGGGGCATGTCTGGGTGATGGTTATTGTGATGTGGGTTGTGGCTCTTGCACAATCTGCACGGTAATCAATGTATAGATTAGAATTACCTAATTCATGTAGTCTTTTGAGCTCAGAACGTAGTTTCTGGGATTGTACATGTTGCTGTAAGGTTAGATCAGGGTGAGAACGAAGATTCTTATGGTTGTTGTTGCTCTTTGTGAGTGAATTTATTGAGAAGATGAATTTGTGTTTGCTTGATTTGTTTTTGCAAACGACCCTGCAGAGGCGTGGGGGTCATCAATCTGTCTTTTTTTTGAGCTCAGGACCAACATGGGAAATTTCATCAGGGAAGATGGTTGATGCTTGATATTCTCTGACGATGTTTCAAACGTTAGTAATGTCATCATTGTCATTCCAAATAAGATGGCATTTGGTCGCTTCCGTTCACACTCAAAGGCTTCTTTGATGAAGATGGGGATATCAATATTTGTAGGATTTATTGTTTTTGTGGATTGGGTTTTGGTTGCGGTTGTTGGGTAGAAATATGGTTTGTGGATGTTTGATATTCATTTTTTTGTGCTGTCTCATTTTTTTCAAGGTTTGTTAAACTTGCTTGTATAGTGTCCAGGGATGCTACAATGGTGTCAAGGGATGTTATACGTATTTCTATGGTATCAAAGGTATATCCTGATCAGTTTTACAGTGTTGATTTGTTTGCTTGTTTTTCTTTGTTTCTACAGATAGCAACTGTGCATTTCTTCTAAAAATATTTTACATGCACCACAGCTTTAAAACAAACAGTATTTCACAGTGCAGGGATGTCACAAAAGATATGCTGGACCATGTGCCATTTGTTCTGTGTCAAAGCAGATATCACACTGATGGGTTACAAACCCATTGCAAATCTGCCAACTTCTCCAGTAATTTTCTTTTCATTTCAACCCCAGGCACCTGATGCAGTGGCTGGGGCATTGGCAGCAGCACAAATACTGCGGGAACTTTCACATCTAGAGACAGAGACAGAGGAAGCGGCAGCCATGAAGGATTTAGCAATGCAGTTTGAAAACTTGGCCATAGGTGAGAGATGGGAAAAGGGGTGATGGGAGAAATGACTGCTTAAGGGAAAGGGGCTGATTTTTGATATAACTAAAGATATTTATCTCAACCATTGTACCTCAAACTTAGTAACTTTAGGATGTTTGGACTTCAACTTCAAAAATTCAGATGAATTCCACATCCCTTAAAATTTCTGAGGTTGACAAACACTGATCTAGACCAATCAGTCTAGATATACCAACCTACCATCCCCATCATGACAACAGGCATAAATACTAAGAGATTTCCAAGCCATCCTAAGGGAATCATAGGATGGAATCTATGTTAATGGAAGAGTTTATTGGCATAATACAACATGCAGGCAAATATAGGAAGAGTTATAACAGAGAAGGAAAAGAAGTACCGTATTTGCCGGCGTATAAGACGACTGGGCGTATAAGACGACCCCCCAACATTTCCACTCAAAATATAGAGTTTGTTATATACTCGCCGTATAAGACTACCCCCTCTTCCACACACCTTCCACTTTTGCACTTTTTTTTTTTTTGACGCACTTTTCTGCTTTGGACAATTTTGAAATGAGCTAATCCAATTTTGAACCAAGAATATGCAAATAGCTATGGAGTTTAGAAATGAGTTTTAAAAATATTTTTCATTGCTTACCATTAAGCGTAAAATATGTTGTAAATAAAATGAGAACACAGGAAACGTTCTCTTCTCAATACAGCTGATCTCTCTCTCACCAAAAACCCGGACACTGAAAAGGCTGCCAAGGAACAGTATATTGAATGCCTTCTCTTTAATCAAGAAACAAGGAATTCCTTAGAATCTTTTTTTTTCCCCAAGTGGCCCTCTTTAAAAAAAAAAAATGGAGGTAACACTTTCATTCAAAAAGTCTTCCAGTATCTGGAGTCGCTCAGACATATTGAAGTGAGGCAGGAGAGTAAGTGAAATTTGAAATGATCCAGCTACCGTTTTCTTCCCCTCCCGCCCGAAGGCCATTATCTCCACGTCAAAACGAACGAGGGGAGGCAAAGAAGCCAAACACGCTAAAAAGGATCTCTTTATTTTCCTACACAAGGTCACACCTACTTTTCCGCATTCAAAGGACAACCTCTCCTCACCACCACCACACACACACACACACCCCAATACCCGCAAACAATGTTCTGGGCATTAATCACCATTGCTACATTAACCTGGTAAATTTATACCCTGCCTCTCCCAGTGTTGCTTTGACGGCAGGATTTCACACAGCAGGGCGCTCGCTCGCTCTCTTCTCCGCTCTCCCACCGTTCGCACATGTTGGAAGCACCGTAAAACCTGATAACCCACCCGGGGGCTCCCCCATCCTTAACCTACAGCCGCCCGCATGCAAAACCTGCGTGCAGAAAGAAAAAAAGAAAAAGAAAAGTACGCCGCACGTGAGGATCTTCGAATCCTCTCCTCCCCACACCGCTAAGGAAGGAAGAGGGGGAAAGGTTGCGCAGCGCGTGGCGAGTGACACCCGCCACACACACACACACACACACACACACATACACACATACACCGCTCCCCCCCCAGCCTCCCTCCCGGCTGCAACTCAAGCTCGAAGTGGGAGTCGGAGTCCTCCCGGCGTATAAGACGACCCCCCCACTTGGAGGCATGTTTTTCAGAGCAAAAAAGTCGTCTTATACGCCGGCAAATACGGTAAGTTGTAATGCTCATGAAATGAAAGATTTTATGGAGAAACCCAGTGATGGGTTCCCAGGTTTTCCTGAAAATTAAAAATTGTACAGTTTGGCATTTAACTGAAATAGATTTCAAATTCTTTATTACTTAAATATAGATTTACTGACTAGTTTCAGGTGATTAAATTTTGCATTGACAGTCTCCACTAATTTGTAAAATTGATGTAAATGGACCAATTTTGAATTTTTTCTTCTGACTGGTAGGGTGATATCTAAGCTGCTCCATCTCAAATCCAGTATTTCTTAGCCCCCTATCACGTTTACTATTAAAAAGAAAAACTTTTTTGCAGTATATAAGCAGCCTAACAAGTATATGTTTTCCATAGGAGCAATTTCTTACTATAACCTCCCACATCCTGACTTAGCTTTAGCTATTTGTTTTTTCAGAAAAGAGGGAAAGTATAACATTTTTACAACTGATTCATTTCGTTATACGTATATGAAGGTTTGATGTAATGTTTGCAGTTACTTGGAAAAACTTTAATAAAAAGTTACTTATAGAAGTTTTTGAATGAAATGTTGGTGTCAAATTGTCTAATTGACAATAGTTTTGGGGTTTAAAATAATTCCTATATTATCATGGAACTGCCATATCCAAGAATATTTGTTATTTTTATGATTAATTTTCCATTGCCTTCATTTCTAAGTTTCTTAGATGGTTGTGAGAAAATGTAGACAAATATATAGGCATGCGTGTATCGGAGTATTGTGAGACAATGATTTTATATCATTTTTGTGGACTGGAAGACTCAAACTGTTCTTGTTAGCACGCAGAACATTTTTAGTTAAGTACAATTGATTACTGACCTATTTAGAGCAAGTGGAAAACCTCTGATTTTGACCTTCTCTATGAGCTCCAAACTAGCAAAAGGATAGATTTTAACAATATGAATATCAGTATGAATATGGGAAAGATCCAAAGACAGATCAGAATTATTACGAATTAATGTGGACATGAATTGCAAAGTCTTAGCACACGGATGGTTTGTTTGGAAGTCTTTGAATGTTGTATTGATTGATTGATTGATTGGAAATTGTCAAACAAAAATGAGAAAAAGAATAAGAGAATAAAAATACAATGACAGGGAAGGGACAATAGGCCCATTAATGAACTTATGGATATCCCCTCTACTGTCCACTTACGTATGAAGTAAGATCCACGGAAGTCAATTTGTGCCTGAAACTGTGAAAATTTGTAGCTGAGACAACTGAATTGGATAGGACATTACAGACTTTGACAATTGGGTTACAGAATTATATTTTTTACAGTCAAGTTTAGAACGATTTACATTGAGTTTAAAGTATTAATATTAATCTTGTTCTATGATTAACAGTTCCTTAAATTAAGGAAAGTTGTGAATTGTGCAGATATTGTAATTCCTTGACTTTTTATACTCAAATATCTCTCTCCTCCCTCTTAACTCCACAATTCTAGGAGTATTCAATGAATGTTACCGTAATAGTGAGCCACGGGCCTACAAACTACTGGTGCGCTGTTCCCACCTCTGGGGTGGAGCCACTATCCTCCATCTGGCTCACCAGGCTGATGCCCGTCTCTTTTTTGCACAGGATGGTGTGCAGGTACATTGAACATTAAAATAATATGGTGGCATGTGGAGCAAGCTACCTAGGCAATGGAGGGTTGTTGTTTTTCATCAGAGGTTTTTAAATCAAAATTGGATGGGTACCGGTAATTACTATGTATGCTATAATGTTTGATGATGTTGTAGCAATAAACTAAATCACTGTTGAGGTTTTTTCCAGTTCTATAATACTCTGATTCCTGGATTCATTCTACCAGCTGTTTGAGGAAGCTCCAGCCTTGGGATGTACCTACTTCCCATTGATGACTATGAGTTGGGTGTTCTTAGGTTCTGGATGCTTAGATTTATAAACCGCAGGGCACAAGTATTGTTAAGCACTACATGGAATGCTAATAATGTTGGGGTGAGGATATGGAATGTAAGCAAATAAAATCATTATAACCAGAAGTCATATAATATAGGAATGGCATAAAATAGAATAATATAGCAATTAATAGTAAAATTATAAAGCCATACTATAGAGATCAATAGAGGGAACTTGGTCTTAGCTTAAAAACGAGAAGAAATTTTGGAAATTGTGGCTAATGGTATTTCCACACACATCATGCTTCATGTAGATATCTCAGTTCAAAATTGGACCAACATTTTCTTCCATTTATAGCTGCCCACATCCTGAGCTAGCAACAGTCTCTACCAAATGAAGCATGTTTCCAGATGGCCAGGTGTCTCACAATCTGAGTCTCTCAGCAGCTGATTCCAACCTTGAAAAAGTTCCTCACTAGGACAATTCTTCCAGTGACAGACAAGATATATGATTCCTGGTGGATCCCCATCCTGACAAGAACTCTTCTGAGAAATAGATAAAACATGTGTTGAATCTCCCAACTGGAAACAAAGCATAATATACCCAACCTTTAAAAGGGCAAACTAACAGGAACCTGCTAATTACCATGCAATTAATATGCTGGACATTTCTTCTAAGCTCTATCTCAGACATTTTCTAAAACCAGAAGATTGGGAAGGAGAAATAAAACTTTTTCTTCAGAGCAGTCAAGATTTCCAAAAGGACAGCACGGTACACCGCTGCACTACTTTGAAGGCCCTTATTAAAAAAATATAACAAAAGGCACACAAAACACACCTTTGTCAATTTTATTGACCTTATCCCTGCCTTTCACTTAGTTGACAAGCCTTGTCAATGGGAGAAACTAAACTAGTACAAATATTAATAAGCAGCTTCTTAAGCTAATTATTGAATTACATACAATAGTGACATTATGGCTGGTCTCTGTATTTTTCAGCGCTCTCTCTCTCTCTTGTGTTCTTCTAATAGTCCCTGCTTACCCAAAACTGGTGGGGAGAAATGGACCGAAGTACCTCTGTCTGGAAGCTTCTTCTAACCTTTTTTTGCCCCCCTCTCATCTTTACTGAACTCATTACATTCAGGTGGGTGCTACTGGGCATGGTTTGATTGACACTTAATAGTGTGGCAGAGAGGAACTGTACATTGCTGGCAGCCTACAATGTAGCTATTATACTGTAGTTATTTACAGTAGTAACTGCAATTCCTGAATATAAAAAGTACCGAGTGTTTCTTTATATAACAGAGCATTAATAGGTATATTTACCTATCCACGTTCTGTTATAGCTCTTTCAAAACCTGCAATTGACCTGCCACAGGACAATTAATCCACCTTCCAGAACAAGTAGAACCAATACATTCAAATCTTAAGTCCTTGTCCCTGGAATTTCTAGCAGTCAATTTAATTTCTAGCATTAAATTTTATGGCTAAATTTTAGCATCTGCATTTAAATGTGGTCAAGGTGGTCATGCTGATCCATAATGTGATCTTTAATAGGAACATGGATGAAGATCTGCGTCTGGATTCCTTGGAACAGTTTGAACTGGACAGTCTTGATACAGATGTGAAAAGTACCATCGGAGACATGTTGTCTGAGTAGGGGGAATGGTCATGATTTTGGGAACATGGGTTTGTGGGAGGATGGAAGTATGGGCTAGCATAAATGAAGGCTGTTGATGCATGGGACTGATGGGTAGCCTGGATCTCTTCAAGCTATTCTAGGTTCCCCCCTACCCCGGTGAATATCCAGCTTTTGTCAAAAAGTAATGTTAAAACGTGGAATGGAAACTGTGGTCCTTGAAATTTAGGTGAACTACAACTTCTAGCATTCCCCACTATTGATGGAAGCTTAAAGTTCTTTTTTTTTTTAAAAGAACACTTCTTGTTTATTTAAATCGCCTCTTTTCAGGAGGGACATTTTGAAGTTGCTGACAAACATTTATTCATATGTAAATATATTTAATTAATGAATTAATTATTCAAGCAATAGAGTCAATTTATCAGTGGGACTCAAAACATTTCTCCCTTCTTTTCCTTTTCATATCTTAGAAGTTTGGAACCTCCTTCCCCTCTTTCTGTTCGACAACTCTGGCTACGACGGTGGCATCAATTCTGGATGGCACCTGTGACAGCCTTCCTGGGCAATGTGGTGATGTACTTGCTCTTCCTCTTCCTCTTCTCCTACGTCCTGCTGCTGGATTTTGACCCTCCACCTCCCAAAGGTCCATCTGGCACTGAGATAGTTCTGTACATCTGGGTCTTCACACTGGTTTGTGAAGAGGTGCGTCAAGGATGTTTTGTGGGTTCCCGTCCTTTGTTGCAGAGAGTACAACGGTACTTCCTGGACACCTGGAACCAGTTTGATATCACGGCCCTGCTACTCTTCATGGTGGGGCTAGTGTGCAGGTAAGTGCTCTTCTGGATTGTAAGACTTCAGTACTATTCTTTTACTCTGATGTTTTTGAGTGAGCTTGTGAGATCAGTGATTAATACAGCTGAAGATAAAGAGAAATGGTAGTGTTTAGAATCGGTTTCTTTTCTTTTTTCTTTTTCTTTACTCCACTGTCTAAATCACAGGCTGTTTCCTTCATCATATGAATCAGGACGCACCATTCTGTGCCTGGATTTCATGATCTTCACCCTTCGTCTCATCCACATCTTTGCAGTCAACAAACAGTTGGGGCCCAAGATGATTATCGTTGGCAAGATGGTGAGAAGGTGCATTTTTTATGCACATGGAATAATACACAGAAAGAGGATTGTTGAATACGCAGGAGGGTTGTTTGCTTGCTTAAGAATGAACGGGCACTGTCTAACGAAATTTAAGCCAAGTGCAAATGAAATAGAGCTGCAAAGTCTATTGGATTTAACATAGGAGAGCAAATTGTCTTTCAATATGGCAATTAATTGGCCCACCCTACCTGTGCTGGCAGAAGGAGCATGCTGCAGACCCTGTTGGTCAAGGAATTCTGGATGGCTGGGTCCAGAAGAGCCTATCCTGTCATAATTCCTATCCTCTGGAATATCATACACCCCCCCCCCACTCCCAATAAGATCCACCCTCATCTTGGTCTTCCAAAAAGGCCTTCAAACCTGGTTTTGTCATAATAGAGGTGGTTAACAGACAGATAAGACCCCACCTCCTTCTCACATGCATCTTGTTCTCTTCCATGCCATCTTTGTTAATTTTTAAGTCAATTTTAATATTAACGTTTATTTATTTTCATGTTTTAATGCACGCATGTCCAAACTACATTGAGTTAAGAGGCTGGGGCTGCATACAAAATATGTAATTTTATTTTTTTTATTGTTCTATTATTTTCTTTTTGCATTGTTTTAATTTCCTTTTTATTTCATTGTTTTTTATGGTTGCGATCTGCCTAGAATAGCCCATGGTAAGATAGGCAGCAAATAAATTTAATAATAATAACAACAACAATAATATAGTAAATATAACTAAATATCACATAGTAATGTTAAAAGTTTACGATCTTGTGAGGCTGCAAGTTGGATATGTCTGTTTTAATGTTTTATCTTGTTGCTTTATATCATTGCAAGAAACCTAGAATTGCTGCTAGGTGAGATGGGTGGAATAATTTCCTTTGTTCTCTCCTTCTTCTCTTCCTAGATGAAGGATGTATTTTTCTTTCTGTTCTTCCTTGGGGTATGGCTGGTAGCCTATGGGGTCACGACTGAGGGTCTTCTTCTCCCCCACGATCGAAGAATCCCTTGGATATTTCGACGTGTTTTCTACCGACCTTACTTGCAAATTTTTGGACAGATCCCACTCGGTGAAATTGATGGTGTGTATTTTGGGGGTGCTTGCTGACTTCTCTGATTCTCATCCAGTTTGGCCTGTTGAAACCCAGGAAAGAGTAGTGCATGTTATAGATAAAGTACCAAATAGGCAATTGCCTGCTGAGGATTGTTAAACAACTCCTTTATTTCTTATTTATTTATATTTGATTTAGTTTCTGTGCTAATGCAGAAAAAAGATAGAGCTTTCCATCTCTTTTCTGACAGTCTGCTCCCTCATCTGCATGGAATGTCGGTTAGCTACGGTGATAAAGCTAGTCCCCAAATATATGACAGAGATAGTCTAAGATGGAAAATATAAAAAGCAAGACAATTACAATATTGAGAGGGTTAATTAAAAAAATAAGATGGAAACAACTAATAAAATTAAGAGTAGGCTTTTGAAAGGAGAAAAAAAGGAAATAATTTGAAATATTTTTAAAGTTTTTTTTTTCCTCTTCCCACTAGGCCTTCATATTTTTATACAAGCTTAATAGTATATTTCAGAATATTAAATGCTAGTTGGCAAATAAGGAGAGACAGTGCCAACTTTATGAAGGGGTCTGTTTGAGAAACCTGTAGTTTCTATAAAGTATTTGGGTGGCCACTGATAGGAATGGGATTCTGCATTCTGCAGGCTAATCTGATCGAGTAGATATTTTTAAGAGTTTTACCTTTTATTCCAGAACAGCCCCTTCAAACCAAAACTTTTGGGCCATAACTCCCATCAGTCCCAACCAATATAGCCAGGTTCCACCACTGATGAGAACTGTAAGCCCAACTGTAAACCCAAAGAACTGAAGGAAACCAAATATGTAGAAATACTAAACCAGCTAGGGCTAAAACTACCCTATACAAGAATTTGGTGCATTCTTTCTTCTAGAAAGGCAGTAGTAAAATCTTCCTCAATCTATGACTTTCATCTCATTTTTTCCTTTGATATTCTTCCCTAGCTGCCCAGTTTACGGCCTCGAATTGCACCTATGACCCTTTAGCCATTTTGATGGAGGACGCGAATCCTTGTACCAATACCTATGCTAATTGGCTGGTGCTCATTCTTCTTGTGATCTTCCTGTTGGTAGCCAATATTCTGCTCCTCAACTTGCTGATTGCAATGTTCAGGTACCACTACCTGAATTCTATCAAAACAGGATTAAAAAAAATCTTTAAAAAGTCCTTACACAAATCTCCATAATAAAAATAGGAATAAGATTATGGTCCAAACCTAGTTCAATAAGACATTATACTTTTCAAAAGTAATTTAGACTGTAATTATTTTAGCCATTTCAAGTTCAGTTTTCAGCAAAATATTTTCAAAAAAATATTTAAAGAATAAGCTGTTGAATTAATTCTATGATCATACTTCAAACATGGCAGTTTCATATATTTATGAAAATACATTCACAATATTTTTACAACTTTTTCCACGGCTCAAGTTCAGGGAAAGAAAAATATTTGCTGCTAGGCCAGTGAATGATAGAACAAGACGGCTGCACCTGTACATTTTCTTTAACCCACCCTTAATTGTTCTGATTAAACAGTATGGTCTTTTGTTGAGATTTTCATGTAGAACAGGAAATGTAGAAATATGTTGGTTCATGTTTCTTTTCCATCCATATGCTGTCTACGATTGTGTGCCAGCTAAGGGATGAGCCATTCAGTTTGAAGTTGACTCTTCCAATTTGGAGAAAGGTAGGACTAACATATTGTTTCCCCCACTAATAGTTACACGTTCTCCAAAGTGCAAGGCAACAGTGATATCTACTGGAAATCACAGCGTTACAACCTTATCTTGGAGTATCATAGCCGGCCTGCATTGGCTCCACCCTTCATCCTGATCAGCCACCTACATCTTTTGTGCAAGCGTCATATCCACAAGGTGCAGTCGGCAAAGAGACGTGACTTCTGTGAGTGCTATAGGCAATTTTGGGATAGATAGAGATAACCTGCCTAGGAATGCTGGAACTCTTGCAGTGTTAACCAATCTAGAGAACATCACATATGGGAAGGGTTTTCAAGGTCATTCGTTCATTCATTGGTTGTCTTTATATTTTGCCATTCAACTGAAAGCTCAAGGCGGCAAAGAAAGGACTTTCCTATGTTCATCTCCACAAAATAGATTTACAGATGAAGAGCAAGTAACTAGATCAGCAATAATGCTGAAATCACTGTTCTACATCAGCTCTTTATGATTATCAAAAATGATTAATTCTAACTCTATGTCATTATCAATCATTAATGCCCCTGGTTCTGCGCCGAAGGTGCCTGGCTTTTGGCTCCTTCCCAAGTTTTCCTCTTTTTCCAAGCAAGATTCTCCCTCTGTGAGAATCATTAATAAGGTTTACTGAGATGACAGAGATATAGTTTCAAGAATTTCAGAACTATTTCTGATTTACAGCTAACTGATCCATTGATCCATTAGGGCAGAGACTTGCATTGCACATCAATTAGTGATGAGCCATTTCTTTTCACCAATAATGGATAGACTTGCAGGTAGCTGTTTACTAAACTGACTCCTGAATCATTATCATTCTGTGAACCAATAATTAATCTATTTTGGACAGTGCTAGAACTCTCTGAGATCCAAAATAGGCGACTACTGACATGGGAATCAGTACAGAAAGAAAATTACTTAGTAACCCAGGCTCGACAGAAACGTGACAGCGACACTGAGCGACTTCGGAGAACTTCCCAAAAGTAAGAATGGGGAATAGAAGACAATAAAGAAAAAGGAGGAGGCTGAGATTAGAGAAGGACTGATCAGTTTAAGTCCAAATTGAATCAGTTTTTTTTTGTTAATTAAGATATTTTTTTTATACGGAAATGTTTTAAAAGTTTGTGAAAATTGACTTAAAATAGATATTTTAACATTTTCTTAAAAATGCAATTTAATCATTTAATTTCAAAATATGTTTTAAAATATATTGAATCATGAATATTTCATCAAATGCAAAGAAATGCAAAATCCAAAATATAAGTACATTTACAATCCCAGCATGTTTGACCAGAATGTGCAGATCAAATCAATTTACACTGAAATCTATATATATATTTTTATATAATCAAAATACCACTCACACATCATCACAAAATCTCCAGAACATAAAGCTTGAAATTTGGCACGTATGTTCCTCTTGGTCTCTAGGTGCTCACTAAGAAAGGATTTTTCAAAATAACCCTCAGAGCATTAGTATTTCCTATATTATTATTAACATGCTCTGATGCTAAGGAGTTCTACTCCCCCTCCCCACCTGAAAAGAAATCTGTTCCAAATGCAAAACACAAGCAGAGGAGAAGAATTTCAGTTTTAGTTTCAGAGCACCAAGCAGCTTTAGTACAGAACAGTTGAGCTAAGCCACACCCAGGGTTCTTGCTGTCTCCTTCTTGCTCACACAACAAATACTGCTTCAGTTTCCAAACAGCCCTCAACTCTCTTACAAACTGACAGGATGCTAGCCAGATGAATACCGATGGATGCTGGTAGGCAGAGGGACATTTCCCCCCCTTATTTTCCTCCCCAAAAACTAAGCCCGACCACATAATTTCGTAGCGAAGCACGGGTATCGAGCTAGTTTTAGATAAAATTTCATATCCATTTTTAATTACGAAAAGCATGTTACAGACAGATTTCCTAAACCTGATTTGTTTCAGATATTTTCGGTAGCTTCTTCCAGAGATATTGCTTGGGAAATGAGAACAAAAGTTTCTATGCATGCTACATCTGGAGAATCTTCCCTGTTTATTGATCAACCATTCCTAAAATGAACAATAGTGTGGTAAAATGCAGTCCAATGTTTCCGGAAGGTGCCTTAGGCTGCATTCAGAACCATTATAGAGTTGTTGCAAGTATTTTGTGTGTGTGTGTGTGTGTGTGTGTGTGTGTGTGTGTGTGTGTGCTGGGTTGGGGGCTGTAGCTTTGCAGACTTTCTGGATGGTGCATTCTCCTCTTAAAAACACTTTCTTCACCATGCCTGTGTTCCAAATACCATATGGAAATTCCATATTTAGGAAGACCCACTATAACCCATAGGATTTACATTAGCTATTACTAGTTTGTCCTATTCACTTCAATGGCTCTAAGTATCAACTATTAATACTGATGCACACATAAACCAATTTCTTTACTCAATATTGAGATTGGAAAGTGTTCACCCTTCCTTCTAAAAAAAGCCTGTCTATAATTTCCTAAAATCCAATCTTTCTGCCTAGATGTATTAGAGCAAAAACACTTCTAGCATCCTTATGTGGGGGAAATGAGAGCTTTGGAATCAAATATAGGAGACTATCAGAGAGGATAAAATGTTGTCTCAAGCCCCTACAGAGGAAAAAGAAGACTGACTTGTTTCCTTTCTTTGTAACTGCCTCACACCTCTAATTCTGCAGAGTCGATCAGGCTTTAAAGCAGCTTTCTGATATCAAAGAATCAGAGCGACGTCTGAAGACCCTTGAGATGCAGGTATGGGAATAGTAATGGATTCTTTGAAATGGGACGAAAATGGGAACTGATAGGACAAAGGTTTTGCAGCAAAGGTGAAAAGTAGCAGCAGTAGATGGAAAAAGGCCTGCCATATTAAGAGAGTAAATTCGGGGATAGGGGAATCTTTGGCCTTCAATAAGTTGTTGACTTTTTCTCTCCAGCTCCCATACCAACCATAGCTGGATGTTGTAGTACACCAACCATAGATTTCTCCTCTAAGACTGAAATTGCACTTTTTCACTAAATGGATTAAATACATCTAAAGGAATCACAACTGGTTTTAACAATGTTTTAATTTTTTTAAAGCCACACTGGTTGGCTAAGCCAGCAACAAGAAAAACACAATATGGCATAATATGACAACTGTATCCCATAAACCTTCAAAAAGACTACCTCCCAAATATGTTTCTTTCATTTACTCACAATAGATGGAGTATTGTACCAGTGCCTTGTCTTGGGTAGTAGATATCTTGGCCCAGAGTGACATAGCAAAAGGAAAACAAGTTCCACCTATTCAAAAAAAAGGTAAGTAGACAGGAAAATTCAGAAATACTTAAGGATATGTATATTTAATGGACAAATAAGCATTATTCTAAGTAAAGGATAGCATTTATCTATGTAGATTTCTTAATGTGCATGTGTGCATGTATCTACATGTAATCTATATGCAAAATTTGCCCTGAATGAATTTGTGGGGAATGAACTTCAGAAAAGTTGGCAAATTGCTAAAGAAAAGCTTCATAGGCATGGGGATACTTAGTTCCTTTTCATATTTCCATCTAGAGGGCAAAAAAATGGAGAAGAATGATCCAAGGCTTCTCTAGATTTGATGAGGCAGCCATGCAACGGAATCTCTTGCAAGAGAATTAGAAGCAGAGATGTTAGTTTCCACACCCCTTTGAAGAAATGCAAAATGTGTTGGGTTCAATAAATACATTCCTCTGGAAAGCTTCCTTATTGATAAGGGTGGTGAAATCCAGAGCTGACAGAACCACCTTATTCCTAAGCTCCATCATACTCAAACCAACAAAACAGACAGGAAAGAGTGGAGCACCTTCTTTTCTTTTGTTGGATTAGGCTAAATTGTTCCAGTATCTTCACTGATGTCATTATATTTATTTGCATCCCTCCTCCTTTCTTATTATTGGCCTTCTTAGGAAAGGTGTGTCACGACACCTATAGATTTACATAATTTGCAACTTCTTTTGGGCCACCTCCTTCACAGCTTCTTTTGGGGCTCTTTATGCTATAATTAATTCTATGAATTCTGAACACTTTGGATCTTCCCATAGCTTCATTGTGAACACAGAGAGGTTAGATAATCCCCATCTGAAGTAGTCTTTTTCACAGCTCTTGCAAGAAAAGAATGGTAAAAAATAATCTGGAGCTTGGGGTGCTACACTGATTTAGAGATAATTCCCTCAACACTGTTCAACTATTTACAAAGTCTGCACTATTATTATTATTAATCTTCTCATCTCTCCTTATCACCCATCCCCTCCCACTTGTGACTGTATGACGGTAACTTTGTCGCTTGTATCCTTACGATTTATATGGACCATTTCCTAGTATGATTTGATTACTTATTCTACCCTATGACTATTATTAAATATTGCACCTTATGATTCTTGACTCATGATGAATGTATCTTTTCTTTTATGTACACCGAGAGCATTTGCACCAAGACAAATTCCTTGTCTGTCCAATCACACTTGGCCAATAAAGAATTCTATGATCTAAGATAGTTTTACTTCAACCTGCTCCTCCAATTTTTTTTTACTATTTTAGAAAAAGCAAGCATACACTTAAAAAACAGTGCTGTAATTATACTGTACTTTCAATTGATGTTATTTATTTACTTAATTTCTATACAATCATGATTCACATTCTTGACATTCAACAGAGCTTGAAATACAGGTTTAAGAAAATTATCTCCCTTTTTTAGTTAACTGCATCTACGCTGAATCTTCTGTGTTTCCTTTGCAAAACAAAGATGGGTGTAAGTTGTGGTGAAAAGGAATACAGCAATCGTGTGGATGTAGATGGCATGCACTCTTGATTAACTAGACTTTCTAGTATTACTGGGCAATTTGAGTTCCATTATAAGAATGTGACAAACTATAGCTAGATTACTAGAGTTCCTGAAAGGAACAATAATTAGATGCGATGGCACCCCAAATCTTCTTGATCCTTAGTTCTCTTTATTCTTCACACAAGTTCTTTTTGGTAAAGATCAAGTAGCATCACTCTGAGGGGTGGAAAGGGTTGCTAACTATCAGACTAGTTGCCAAGTGTGGAATGGGAAAATCAAATTATTTATTCCTCTGCTGAGGAAAATCCCACTTATTTCAGAAGAAACACTCCCCAACAGAATACAGGTAGTCTTTGTCTTACTACCATAATTGAGCCCCAAATATCTGTTGCTAAGCCAGTTATTAAATGAATTTAGCTTATTTTATGACCTTTTTGCTACAGTTGCTGTTGTTAAATAACACCATTGTTACATGAATTTGGCTTTCTCATTGACTTTGTTTGTCAGAAGGTTGCAAAAGATGATCACATGATGCCAGGACATACGAGTCATTTGCCAAGTAGTCAGACTTTGATCATGTGACCATGGGGATGCTGCAATAGTTTTGAGAAAAATGGTCATACGTCACTTCTTCAGGACCACTGTAGTTTCGAACGGTTATTAAATGAACTCTATAAGTCGAGGACTACCTGTACAATTAATCTCATCTAAGACTAATGAGAATCACTGCCCCCTAGTGGATTATTTGGATGTAACAGAATAGTACAGTAGTTCACATCTTTTGTTGTTCTCTTTTCTTACAGATTGAACTTTTCCATGGCACATGACAAAAGACAGGGAAGAAATATCAGCTGCTGCTGTTCACAAAATCCCAAAAGTGTCTCAACATCTGATCTCTCAGAGAATTAAAATGTAGACTTCAGCAGGAAATAATTGAGAGAATCCAGGATCGCATTTCAGTTCAGCTACAAAATACCTTACGTCTGACTTTAGTTTTCTTCATTGGAAATATGAATTATCTACCTCACAGCATTTCAATGAGAAAGAAATGTGGACGGTTAAAATATTGATATGCCAGACATGCAAAAACAATAGATAATAATCCTGTCCTATACTTATATTAATAACTGAATCAGCTGCTACTTTTGTTTGCAGTCAGTAAAATGAAGACTCAGAACATTGTAAACCACTCAGAGTGCTGTTATATGGAGTGGTATTTAAGTGCTATTGCTAAAATAATATATTTGTGTAAATACTGAGATGGGCAATCTTTTGATGGCTAGACCACAATTACATTGAGCTCCTCAAAGTTCAAAAAGAAATAATGTGATGCAAACCTGATTAGCTTTTCTGGGGTGTTTGAGAAAATGTTCTTTGTTTTTATTGGTTATACTTTGGTTTTCCCATGATTCCTGACATAAATTAGCAAGAAATTGTGGTTCTGGTATAGTGCTCGGAGCTTTTGGATGGAAATTTGATGATACACTTGATATAGGGGCCACGGTGGCTCACATGGTAAGATGCTGGGTTTGCTCATCACCGAGGCCAGCAGCTCGGTGGCTTGATTCCCGTGAGCAAATAAACCACAGAGGGACAAGAAAGGAGCCTCCCCCGATTGCCTACTGGCATTCAGGTGTCCTGCGGGTAAAGATAACACCACCAGTAAAAATTCCTTTCACAGAGGCAGCCAGCCACCTCAGTGATCCCTGGCTAAATACATGCCATACGCTAAATAAATAAATAAATAAAACACTTGATATAATATTAATGGAATAGGTAGGACATGCTATGCTTTAAAGGAATACATGGGAATTAATTAAAGTCCATGCTTCATATGCAGGAGGCCCAAGGTTCAGTCCATGGCATTCCTGTCAAAAGAATCTTGATGTAGCAGGTGATAGAAACATTTTCTTATTTCCTGAAAGCTCTAAACCTATTATCAATGAAAATAGATAATGCAATGATATGACCTATTACAAAACAACTTTCTGTATTCTTAAGATAATTAGCTCCATAAATCTTCATATGGACAATCCAGGCTGACATTAATTTCTCAAGTGCATGTTTGCTTGACATCTCATTCCTAGTTGTCTTTCAATCAGCCAAAGGGCCATGCCCTTGCAAGTGTGAGTAAGTGAAGTCATGTGTGATATCATTTTCTAATATAACAATGAGTAGAAACTAGAACTTTTCTAACTGACGATATATCCACCGGATCTAATGGCTGGAATTTACAGACAACAGCAAGGTTGATACTTGCAAGCCAAAAGAACATACTCCCTAATCATGTAAATACTTTTGTGACTTGCTTGAGAAGAAAACCTGGTTAGTTTATACTTTAAAATTACATCTACTGGATGATTAAGATTCTAGGGTTAAAAAAAAGTTGGATCACCTAAGACTTTTGATTAACCCACTCAGTGCTGGGAAATACAAAGAATATTGTATCCATTTCAGCCTGCACATGACCAAAGATCCTTTATATGCAGGAGGGGGTGTTGTGTGTTTGTAAACAGACAAAAGGCAGCATTTAACCTGAATTTCCCTCTTGGTATTTTCAACATACGTAATGTCTGGTCAGTAAAACAAATTGTACTTTTTAAATTTGTTAAGAAAACTTCATAGCAGACAAAAAACTAAACATGCCTAGGCAAATTTAAGTGAGCAAATCAGGCATTTAGAGTTTCTCCTGTACCATTATCAAGTTAAAACTGTTTCAAATATGGTTGATTTCATTGAGAAATCAGTATTCATGGTATCATATTTATTTCCTCCTGGCTATGTTAGGAGCAGCTTTATGAGGACAATAATTTTGAACTCTGTTACTTCCTGCCCATTTCCACAGCTGTTTTTAGTTTGTTTCTTAAACCCAGCAGACAATCCTATTAAAGAGGATCATAACTCTCCATCATATTTGATACAACCTGACCTGAGGTCAAAAAAATCTGCTGCTCTCTTAATGAAATATTGATTCTCAGCTTTGTTTATAATCATGGGTCAAACAGTCCCAGGACTCTGGAGATTAGCAAGGGGGGCAAACAGTAGCGATGGTCAGTTACAGGTAATTGCAGAATAGTATTATATTGCTAGAAAATAAAGTTTGTTCCAGAGAATAATTATAGCATTTAGTTTTCAATATTAGCCTTCAGTCTTTTTAGGGTTTTTAAACTGTGAACTTGTTTGTGAGCCAAATGGTTACTGAAAGGGTATTTACAAATCAAGCCATTTTACCAAATCAATTTTCTTTATAAATGCCACTTTATGGTTAAATTAATATTACTTCTTCTAACATTGCTAGAAGTACATAACAGAAGCGTTAGAATGCATATTTCTGAAACTGTAATAAACAGAAGGAAATTGTACTATTAATCATGTGGTATTTTATAATATATTTAATTAAATGCATTTCATGGAAAGTTAAAAGTATTTTTTTTTAAATCCAGAAACCTTCAAATCTTTTTGCACAATAATTCCTGATCATCATGCCTATGAAATCCCCTTCACAAAGTAAACTGCTTCAGATTTATTAACGTGGAATCTAACCATGTATCATTAAAAAGGGGCAGAAAGAAAGGCATACCTCAGTGTTTCTCACCTTCAACAATTTAAGAAATTGTGGAATTTGCCAGAATTCCCCAGCTAGTACTAATATTCCAGAGTGACATGATCATTCACGGCAATTCTCACTTTAGAAATGTAAGCCCTCTTGTCCCAACAACATCCATGTTGCATATTTTTTTGTTTGTAACAGCATCAAGCTTAAAAAAGATTACAGGCTATTTGACCGGTTATTATTTAGGACCGACGCAGGCCCCCAAATTTCATATCCTATTGTCATAGGAGTCCCTTCATTCCCAGGGAACAACTTGAAAGGGAACCAAAGTTGCCGGAACTCATTTCCAGTCCTTCTCGTGCGCCCCCGGAAGAGGGCCTAGTCGAAGCGCCGGGCTACGGTAGAGATAGGAATAGAGAGTTGTATACTATTTCCGACCCAAATTGTGACCGTGCTTCACTAAATCGGCTGGTCTGACGCCAACCAGTCCCTGGAGTATGAAGCTGTTGCTTCTGCGGATCGCTCAGCACCGAATTTGGGCCATTTGACCAGACCGACCTTTGCCGCAGCCTAAGGTGTGTTTGGGGAGGGTAATTTGTCGCTTACTCGATGGGCAGGTTTTTTTTTAAATAACTATTATTATATGCCATCAAATCGTTTTTCACCAGCAATCCCACAGATACATTTTCTGAATGACAATCTATACCTACAAGCAATTTCTAACTACATCGTTCTGAGCACAGCCGAAGAATCTGTGACTTTTCCTTCCCCGCCGTGTCTGGGTGTGCTTCCCTTCTCCACTTGGTACCCTCCCCCCCACTCCAGACGCGTTGTTGGAGGACAATACCACACTTCCCCACCAGTGGATGGGAACGGTTAATTATATCTGGAGAGCACCAGGTTGGGGAAGGTTGATGGCGGAGGAGGGCGGGGGCTGCTGGGTTGATGGCAGCAAGAACCCAGGAGAATAAAGGAGTTTTAATCTTTTCCCTGCAATCTGTGTCAACAACTGCAAGGCAACTCTCGCTTTCCCACACCTGCGTTTGTGGGTGCGGTGGGGGGTGGGGGGAATTGAAAATTTTAATAATGAAGAACCCATCTCTGCGGAGATGGATGGATGGATGGATGGATGGATGGATGGATGGATAGATAGATAGATAGATAGATAGATAGATAGATAGATAGATAGATAGAT